GTACAATAATTCTGTTTAAGATTGGGATTTTAAGAAAACATTTAAAAAAAATTAAATAGAAAATAAAGCTTTTATGATAAAATATTAATGATATTTACCAATGAGACAGATGAGAAATGTGATTGTTCTCATATTGAGCCAACTATAGTTAATTTAAAACAAATTTTCCATCATAAACAATATGAATTTTCTCCTTCATAAATTAGTATAGGACTTATGATAGTTGGAGAAAACATGAAAGCATCGATTGTTTGAGACAGAATACATTGTTTGAGACAGAATACATTGTTTGAGACAGAATACATTGTTTGAGACAGAATACATTGTTTGACTGAATATATTTAAATTTGAGACCTTCTAGAGACCTCTGATACTTTAAACTTGTTAACGTTCAATATAAATCATATCATATTAACATTTTCAAATTATCTATTCTTTTTTGAGCGCTTACTAGTAATTTAATAAATCCTTTTTATTACGTGTTTAATGAAATTTTTTCAGTGATAACCAGAAAACAGTAAGATGACTTTTAAACTCAAGTTAGAACAACTCAAGTTCGATGAACATTAGACATAGCAATTGTACAGTGTAAGTGGATCCATTTCACTGAAATAGTGTTTTGCTAAGTTACTACTAGTAAGAATATTTGCTTTGTAACAAAACGTTTGAGTATTCCTATATTGTCTTTTTTCTTTTCCATTAATTTATGATAAAAGATTTAGAAGGAGTTGAGAGACGCTGGTACAGAATATTTGTAGTCAATTTTCTTTGCAGAGCTTGTTTTTTAGTTTTTGCAAAGTCATACAGCAATCATGTTTAAGCCAGGGAGGCGTATTCAGGGGGGCTCTCCCTCCCTTGGACCAGTAAAATTCATGGCTTTCAGGGAATTTTCAGGTCCCAACGGGTTTCTGAGCCCCATCCCCCTGGAAAGACAAAATATATTAAGCCCCCCTACCCTGGACGAATTCCTGAACACGCTCCTGTTTTTGAGCAGAACCCCAAGTTCGAACTATAAACGTCTCATGCTTTGTGGGTTTCCCTGTAATGTAAATAAGCAAAAGATATCTGAAGAAAATTAAACGACAGGTGATTATGGTATGCAATTTGGACGCCATGATCCTCCGCTATGCAGACACGAGCCTCCCAGAGTTGCTAGGCAGATTTAGCCTCCAGCAATATGCAGACCAAGCCCCCGCTCTGCTATGCAGACCGTGCCTCTGCTATGCAGTAAACGAGCCTCCACCATACAGCACACCTATTTAAATCTTGGTTTTTATGGTATTGAAAAATTTTAACACTTTTTTTGACGCAGTGGCATAAGAATTTTACTTAGAGTTATTTATTGTTTGTTATGATTAGAAACATATATATGGACTAAAGTGGTTTATAAGATTTATACTAAAACTTCAAATATTTCTTTTCGTGTAAAAGGTCTTTAAAGTTTTATAAACCACTTTATTAGTCATATTTAGGCACTTTTTATGATAATTGATTATTACTTCTCATCTTTGAGAAGCCTCTCATGCCACTAAGTAGAAAAGTTTGTAATTTTTTTTAATTTGAACTTAAAACACAAGCTTAAAAAAACCTCCTGTATCAAACAGGCACATTTTGATGTATTGTGCATGCTCATTGCTGCATAGCGGAGGCTCATAGTGTCCGGGGTTTCCCTCCCTCGTACAACAGGTGATTATGGTACGCAATGGCTACAAACATGTACTGCTTGATTTAACTAATTGTTTTTATATTTTTTTTCAGATAACAAAATCTGAAATGGTTAAATAAGACCTGTAGTGAGAAAAGTGATGAATATCGTGAAAAATGATAATTAAATAAATCTTTACGTACGGTGTTAAAAAGAAAATCAGAAAACAATCATGAATTCTCTGACCAACAGGAAAAGTTTTATTAATTATATAAGAAAAAATAATAATCAAAAATAATATTTATAATAATAACAGAAAATAATGAAAAAGAATAAAAGAGTTATTTAAACAACAAAACAAACATGGTTTTATTCAAACATGGGCTTTATCAAACATGGGCTTTATCAAACATGGGTTTTATCAAACATGGTTTTATCAAACATGTGGTTTATCAAACATGGTTTTATCAAACATGGGTTTTATCAAACATGGGTTTTATCAAACATTGGTTTTATCAAACATGGGTTTTATCAAACATGGGCTTTATCAAACACGGGTTTTATCAAACATTGGTTTTTTTCAAACATGGGTTTTATCAAACATTGGTTTTATCTAACATGGTTTTATCAAACATGGGTTTTAATCAAGTATGGGTTTTATCAAACATGGTTTTATCAAACATTGGGTTTATCAAACATGGGTTTTATAAAACATGGGTTTTATCAAGCATGGTTTTATCAAACATGGGTTTTAATCAAGTATGGGTTTTATCAAACATGGTTTTATCAAACATTGGGTTTATCAAACATGGGTTTTATCAAACATGGGTTTTATCAAGCATGGGTTTTATCAAACATTGGTTTTTTTCAAACATGGGTTTTATCAAACATTGGTTTTATCTAACATTGGATTTATCAAACATTGGTTTTAACAAACATTGGTTTTATCAACATTGATTTTATCAAACATTGGTTTTATCAAACATTGGTTTTATCAAACATTGGTTTTATCAAACATTGGTTTTATCAAACATTGGTTTTATCAAACATGGGTTTATCATCATGGGTTTTATCAAACATTGATTTTACCAAGCATGGGTTTTATCAAACAAATTTTTTTCATAAAGCTTGGAGTTAAGAATTTAAAATATAAAGAATATATTTTCTATTGTACTGAACTTAAAAGACAGGATGTGACGTGTATTTGACTCATGGAACAAAAAATATCAAAAAAAAGAAAGAAGAAATAATGATGCATCACTACTTTTCAAGCATTGTTCAGTGATGTTGAAGATATTGTTTTGATGTTGTTGATATTATTTGATGTTGTTGAAATTGTTTTGATGTTGTCGATGTTGTTTTGATGTTGTTGATATTATTTGATGTTGTTGATATTGTTTTGATGTTGTCGATATTATTTTGATGTTGTTGATATTGTTTTGATGTTGTCGATATTGTTTTGATGTTGTACATATTGTTTTAATGTTGTCGATATTGTTTTGATGTTGTTGAAAATGTTTTGATGTTGTACATATTGTTTTAATGTTGTCGATATTGTTTTGATGTTGTCGATATTGTTTTAATGTTGTTGATATCGTTTTGATGTTGTTAATATTGTTTTGATGTTGTCGATATTTTTTTTGATGTTGTTGATATTGTTTTGACGTTGTTGATATTTTTTTGATTTTGTTGATATTGTTTTGATGTTGTTGATATTGTTTTAATGTTGTCGATATTGTTTTGATGATATTGTTTTGATGTTGTTGATATTGTTTTAATGTTGTCGATATTGTTTTGATGTTTTTGATATTGTTTTAATGTTGTCGATATTGTTTTGATGTTGGTGATATTTTTTTTATTCTGTTGATATTGTTTTGATGTTGTCGATATTGTTTTGAAGTTGTCGATATTGTTTTGATGTTGTCGATATTTGTTTGATGTTGTTTATATTGTTTTGATGTTGTACTTATTGTTTTGATGTTGTCGATATTTTTTTGATGTTGTCGATATTTTTTTGATGTTGTTTATATTGTTTTGATGGTTACTGGGTATGTGGTTGATATGTATTGTTGAATAATGTCTGGATGTACGTCTGTTCCAAATCATGTAGAATTGATAATGATTAAATCTTGAGAATGTCCGTCCTTTCTTTTGTGTCAGATTTAACATTCTAAGATATTCTCAAGCAGAAACACAAGCAAAGTCAGAAGGGACTAGTTTTAGATATTTTGAATCATAACAAAAAAGTTTTAATTCTTGAAATGTAACCTCTGATAAAAGAATTGTGTCTTTGCCACAAACTCTGATTTCCTAATCCATTTATCCTTGGACCCTGATGTCGTTGACCTAAGATATATTTCAAATTATGAATTCTGTTAGTTAGAAATGGTAAAGGTTTACACCATCAGGATTTCAAGATATAGGGATTAGAAAATTTGAGTCTGTGGCAAAAACTTCATGAACATAATATTTGTTTGTCCAACAAGTTTTATCTGAATCCCAGCTGTCTTAAGTATTGAAAGAAATGCAACAGACTTTATTTGTTTTCACAAATATTAATAGTTTCTAAAAAATGCATTTTATTTCAGTTTTTAATTATTGCTGAAACAGCTTCAACTGGATTCTAGCCAAAAAGACTGCACACCAATACGTTTTATAAAAAGTGCAAGCATTCAGTTTTCAGTGCAAGGCAACAAAATTATTGCAAAAATGGCAAGCTTGAACAATTATAAAATAAATATACGAGTATCTATATATACAATAAAGGTATAAAGGTATAATATGTGTGAAGGTATAAAGATATAAAGGTATAAAGGTATAAAGGTATAAAGGTATGAAGGTATAAAGGTAAAAAGGTATAAAGGTATAAAGGTATAATATGTGTAAAGGTATAAAGGTATAAAGGTATAAAGGTATAATATGTGTAAAGGTATAAAGATATAAAGGTATAAAGGTATACTATGTGTAAAGGTATAATATGTGTAAAGGTATAAAGATATAAAGGTAAAAAGGTGCCTTTAAGTCCTTGGCATCGAATTTTATGCCTTAAAAATATAAGTTAATAATTCACTTTGTTTTAGAAAACAGTTATAACAGGTAGCTCTAAAATAAATGGAAAAAAAGTTATTTAATTGAGAAAAATATGATAAAATTTAAGTTACCTAGTTTAAGATATTTACGTTAGCAAAAAAAATATAGAAATTTAGTCTTTGTCAGAAATTAATTTTCTAAAACCATTATCTTCGCGACCCAACGTCATAGACCACATAGTTTGAAATACGAAAAGTGTATACCCCCAGGTTGCAAAGATATGAAATTTTATAAATCAATTTTTGTTTACTTTTATGAGATTGTTTTTAAATAGTTTGGATAAAACTGGTTTTCTTTTGTCAGTCTGCTAGTATGACAGGAATATATGTTTTCATTCATTCATTTACTTATTCATCCTATCCTCTCACCAACCCATTTCCTTCATCCTCCCCCCGCTTTCCCCGGTTATTTCAGAACCCCCCCCCCTGTACTTCTTCCCAGATTCAATTCTTGTATTATGTTTCTCAACTATATATATCCCATTAAACAAATAATAGGCAATTTATTTAATTAGTTAATACGCTAATAAATCTTTTTTATAGCACTGTCATTAACTCCATGAAACCCTAATTAAACTTGAAAATGTATTATATATATATATATATATATCTGTATAAATAAATATATAACATATATACATAATATAAACAAAGGGGAATAGAATGAATGAATTGTAACATATAATGATATGTCAGTGCTGTATCCTTACTTAAATCTTCACATGAAATCATTAGGACTCTCAATACAGGTATAGGACACATAATTTAATCTAATCTAATCTAATCTAATCTAATCTAATCTAATCTTATCTAATCTAATCTAATCTAATCCAATCTGATCCAATCCAATCTAATCTAATCTAATCTAATCCAATCCAATCTAATCTAATATAATCTAATCTAGTCTAATCTAATCTAATCTGATCTAATCTAATCTAATCCAATCTAATCCAATCTAATATAATCTAATATAATCCAATCTAATCCAATCTAATCTAATCTAATCTAATCTAATCTAATCCAATCTAATCTTATCTGATCTAATTTAAAAAGCTGATGCTGAAGTAAATTTCAAAGAATATTAAAAATCTTTTGTGGGCATGGGTTGAGTTGAAGAAAAGTGGTTCAACTTAGTCTCCGCAATTCAATTACAAATATTCAACAAGTGACCCTCCATGTAAAGATGGCAATGCCCGATTTACAACGGTATCCTTAAAAGCTTTGTTTGATCCAGTATGAAATAGATATCAATGTTAATAATTTTCAAAAATTGATTATTTTCATTTGTGGTTTCTTCACAAAAGTTACTTACGAATTTTTACTGCAGGATTACATATAGGAATTATCAAAACTAATACTTTTAAACCTAGAAAAACGACAACATCTCCCACGTTATTAATCAAATAAATGATTCAAAGGTACCATTGTGAATCTCACGTTGCCATCTTTGTATGGAGGGTCACTTGAAATTAAGCCTACAGTTCCTTTCAAGGCCTGAAATCATATTAATAAGTATTTAATTAATCTTAAAACCTTTTTTGTTTAGGAAACTGCAATAATAAATGCTGTAATTCCTGTGCTTTTCATATTCACACCACCGATAGGAAACAAAACACTTTTTTCGCTTTTTTGTGTAATTTTGTATTTCAATATTTTTAATTTTTTAAAATTTTTTGTTTTCTTTTTTTCGAAAATACACTAACTTTCTTTAAATTTTTATTTTTTCTAACATGAGGTTGAATAATTACTGGGGTACTTGAAAACCAGGATATGCTGGGGGGGGGTCAATTTGACCCCCCCCCACTAATCCCATGTTTGATGTCCAAATATGACAAATGATACATCATTGGAAAGCTCTTGTGCTCTACTTTTAGAATCTGCAAAAAAAATTGCAAATTTGCAAAAATTGAATTTTTTATCGCAAAATCCAGTTATATAGTAAAAATGTTTGCAAAAAAAATTTGTCCAAAAAATGAAAAGTTATACATTTTAAATATGCAAAAATTTTTGCAAAATTTTTAAATAACCTGATTTTTAATCAAGAAAAACTAAAAATGTGAAAATTTCCTTTGACAGGTTGTTTGCAAAAAATTTGCAATTTTTTTCGCAGAACTTGTGCAATTCGTTTCCTTATGTCAAAGGCTTTCCAAAAAGCTAAATTTTATCAAAATCTGACAAGTGGAAGTGGGTCAAAACAAAGATTTAGTTTGTTACAGGAAAAAGCAGTCATTCAGGCAGTGTGCCTGAGGGCTCAGACAATTAGTATTAAAGCCCGGTTTTAGGCCTAAAAGGAGGGCTTTGGGTATGTAGGAAAAGTCAGAAAATTTCAACAGGGGGGGGTCAAATTGCCCCCCCCCCCAGGAGGAATAGCCTAATAGGGTTAAGTAACCCGTCTTTTCCTGATCTTTAAAGAAAAAGTTTTTGTTTGAACTATAGCTGGATTTTTGGCGGACAAAATCGGAAACTTTCGAATACTTTTATCAATGCTTACTGGTGCAGGTTAGTTCAGCTTTTTTACAGAAAGTGCAGAACTATCGTTTTTTGTTTCTTTTCTCATATTTTTTACTTTTTAACCTACATGTATTAACTTTTTAATATTTTTGTAGATTTTTTTGTTATAAATTTTTCAGCTAAACTAAATAAAATTATTACCCTTCACGTCGAGGAAGGGAAGGCCACCGCATCCTTAAAAGTTTTTGACGTGATTTGCGGTCCGGACGAAAAACGGGGAATTCTTAGCGTTGTTTTTAATAAAACTAGTTTCAATAAGATTTTTAAAACGCCATGTCTTCCTCTCTATATAAAAAGGGAGAGTCCTATTCATATTGGTTTCCTTTAAAATTAAAATTAAGACTAAATTGAAATTTGTTAGCTATGTTGCATAAATCTGCAAGAAACTTTGATCTAAAAACCAGAATTAGAAAAAATCAGTTTTCTGATAGAAAAACTATGATATCGTAATAATTTTTTGAAGCGACCGTTGTGAATCCGGGATTTGACTCTTTAAAATAGAGGAAATATTTTTCTTTCCCTCCCTATCTAAGAGTCTAAACGCTTGACAGAAAAATGACCTTTATCAACCACGGTTCAAAAAATTAAAAAAAAGTTTGGAAACTTAAAGATTTAATGACACAGAGAAATTGTAAAACCGTTATATTACGAAATAATTTTTACATAATTTCTCTTTCTGTATAAGCTAATTAACTTGATCTAGATATTATTAATTAGCTGACCATTCAGTTTAATCATTCATATTTAAATCTAAAAAAAAAGAAACTTTTGAGAATGCGGACTTATCTTCTTAGAGGGAAACGATTAACCAATTTCCCTTTGTTTTGAACTTAATCTCCCCGGCCCCATAACAAGATTTCCCTTTGTTCTGAACTTAATCTCCCCCCGCCCCCTAACAAGATTTCCCTTTGTTCTGAACTTAATCTCCCCCCGCCCCCGGCCCTATAACAAGATTTCTCTTTGTTCTGAACTTAATCCCCCCCGGCCCCATAACAAGATTTCCCTTTGTTCTGAACTTAATCCCCCCCCGCCCCATAACAAGATTTCCCTTTGTTCTGAACTTAATCCCCCCCCGGCCCTATAACAAGAATGACTATAACTAGTATCGTCCATTGCAAAGTAATCAGCGCAGATTTTCACTTTTTGTTTTATAAACGGACTTAGAGCGTAAATTCAAATGACCTTCAATGCAAAGATGGTAATGATCGATTTACAACGGTACTTTGTCTTATCAAGAATGTATTAGATATCAATGTTTATCATTTTAAAAACTGATTATTTTCTATAGTGGTTTCTCTACAAAAAGGGACTCGAGCATTTCTGCATATATTGATTGGGTTAATCGCAAAAATGATTCACGTATTTACTAATGGGCACATTTAGCTATGTCGACAATATACAACGTAATTTTACTATAGGCCTCTGTATTTTCTACAATATATACAGAACTAAATTATGTATTTTTGTAGGCGGCTTAGTCTCTCTCCTTCTCCTTCTTATCCCTGTAGGTGGGTTTAAAAAATAAAAATAAATTGTAATATTTTAATCATATTTGATCCAGAGTAAGAACCAGAAAACTGAGGAACTAATGTCGTAGTTGTTCAACATATTTTGAAAATTTACATTTTAATCTCAACTCCTCAGGCTACCTCAGGGACATTTCATAAGAAAAATAGGAAAAAAAGAAAGAAAGATCCAGTGTTTTCTAATTTACACTGTATACGCTGTAGTTATGTACAGTATATATATAATATATATTTTAAACTTGAATGTGAACATTTTGGCGCAAAATTCAATAAAAATCTCATCAGACATTTCTTTCAAAATTATAACCGAAGCTGGAAACTAATAGCTTTGAAATCTTCATATTCAAGGCTACAAAACGTTTAAAGAAGATGATGACTATTGACTAGGTTAAACCATAGACAAAAGTCTGTCCACACTTTAAAGTAGGCCCGGTCTAAATAGTTTCAGATTCATAATCTTCATAATCTTTATTACTATAAGAGATAGGTGACTGCATTCCCTTTAAATATAATAATAATTTAGGACGAGATGTTTCCATGTATCCTGATAAATTGACTTGGGGAGTGACTTGTGGGGCTCCAGGTCACCAATATTAACTTTTTTCAACAATTCTAGATTTTCAAAAAAATTTTAGATGAAATACATTCTGTAAGTTGTCAGTCAACTTACAAACATTTTACACAAAATTTATTTATTTGAATTTAATTCTGGAATTATTTATAAAGTTTCTTTTAACTGAAATATTTCAGTGAATTTCATTATCAGTCCCTTAATCTAAATTACTCCTGGAAAGCTGGAACAAAAGAACTAATTTAAAACCTAAAAAAAAGTAGACAGCGGCAAATTTTGAAATAATGCAATAACGTGCAGCTTAATCCGTAAAAAACAGCTGACTTATTTTCTTAATTTTTTTTTGTCAGCGAGATAATGTTTTGTGGTTTCTGACAGATAATGTTTAATGGTTTCTGACAGATAATGTTTAATGGTTTCTGACAGATAATGTTTAATGGTTTCTGACAGATAATGTTTAATGGTTTCTGACAGATAATGTTTAGTGGTTTCTGACAGATAATGTTTAATGGTTTCTGACAGATAATGTTTAGTGGTTTCTGACAGATAATGTTTAATGGTTTCTGACAGATAATGTTTAATGGTTTCTGACAGATAATGTTTAGTGGTTCTGACGAATAATGTTTAGTGGTTTCTGACAGATAATGTTTAATGGTTTCTGACAGATAATGTTTAATGGTTTCTGACAGATAATGTTTAGTGATTTCAGACAGATAATGTTTAATGGTTTCTGACAGATAATGTTTAATGGTTTCTGACAGGATTAAAAATTCAAAAGTTTCGATCTCAGACCTTTTAATTAAATTACGCAGGTTCCAGAGCTCAATATCAGAACCTGATGGTTCATGGATTTATGGATGATAAATGTCAGGTAGATGAAATACACATTTTTTTGATTTTTGAAACAGAATTCTCACATTTTTTCTTCTTATTTTGAAAAAAATTTTGTTCAAAACTTGATGAACATTTTAGAAATAACGAAATTTTTAATAGTTTATCATTTTTTAATAGTTGATATGTTGCCCCTTGGATCCGGATCCGTGGATCCTTATAATTTGGCGGATCCGGATCCAGGAAGCCAATTTCCGAACTTGTTTTGATGCAGCATAAAATTGAAAATCCTTTTTTAAAGAAACTGCAATTAAAAATTATCAATTTTTAAATTGAAAAAAGTCATATCTAACATTACCATTATAATAACATAAATAACATAAATAACATAATAACATAAATAACATTCTGATAAAAATTAGAAGAAGATATCTGGTTTTCAAATTTTTTGGTAGAATTAACAATATTTATTGCACAAATATTTTTGAGATATTCTGACAATATTTATATCTATTAGTAAGTGGGAGGTTGCAATTTTAATTAAATAGGTGAGACCAGATGCCTGGGAGAACGCAACTTTTACACCGGGTACATGCGGGTACATGTGCCCAACTAGGTAAACAACCATTCACTTTAAAGGGATTGTTACGAATTTTAAAAAAATCTAAATGAAAAAATTTGAGGCATTCATTCTTCCACATTCTTTAAGGGAATGACTTTTAGAAAAGAAATCATAAAATAAGATCCAGGCATTAAATAAGATATATGATCCAGGCATTAAGTAAGATATATGATCCAGGCATTAAATAAGATATATGATCCAGGCATATCTAAACTTTATGCCTGCATTCAAAATTTTCATAGATTTGAATAATTTCGTTCAGAATGTGACAGTTTTGGATTTACTTTACAAATTAAAATTAAAACGAAATTTTTAATATCTTTGAAAATATTTTGAGTAATATTTTTTTCATAAATGTAGACATACAATTTTATTTTATTTAGTCTTCCGTAATTCTAAATACGGAAACTATGGTTTGTAAATTCCTAGCGATAAAATTGCATTTTGCAAATGCCTTCGTGATAATTTGGTTTTCGTTAATTTATTTGTATTGTCATGTTTTAAAATTTTTCAATGAATTCACTTGGCTTTAAATTGTTGTTTTTCGCCATTTTCTTCACAGGTCATAAAACTTTAAAAATTCACCCATTTTCTTGTTTTATTTATTTTATTTCCAGATTTCCAAATAAAAAAAATTGTCATATGAGTTCCCACAACAAAAATAAGGCCGTTCGGGCCTATTTTAGCCGTTGACGTTTATTGGATGCAAACAATTAAATCCAAAGACAAACAATCAGACTAGCAAAATATTTATATAAATTTTCATTTCAGGTCACGACTCCAAGTCACTCCAAAATTCTTTGAGTATAAGGTAGACTTATTTAATTTAATATTAAGAAGTAGTTTTGATGGTTGAGTTTAGGTTAATTACAAAAATTTTTAAGAAATGCAATTGAAATCAAATTCAAATTTTTGGTTTGTTTAAAGGAGGTTCATCTCACAACAAGGTTATAAGGCAAGGAAAGTTATTTCAGAGGCGTACGTATTTAATTAACTTTCCTTGCATTATAACCTTGGCTTAGTATATGTTTCTAAATTCAATATCTCAACTGCTGACACTGAACCCATGAATGATAATAATAATAAAATAATAAACCTTGCAAGTTTTCTGGAATTGACTATCTCACCAGGTGTGTAGATTGTTGAATGTTGATGACTTTACTAAATATAGGTCTATACACAATTAATGTTTCCTAGCTCTGTTGAAGGGTGAGGAAAGAAAAAGGAACACAGCGTGGAATTTGAAAATGTGTAGGACCCAATGTCAGAACAAAAAAATACAGTTTAAAATAAACGAAACATAGATTCTTAAAAGTAAAAAACCTTGAATGGTTTAAAAGAATGACACACCTAGAGCAGGGTTTAGAGGGGTTGGAGGGGAAAGAAAAAGCATCAGAATTGTTGGTCAATTTTTGTAAAACATTTTTGTGTTTCAGGTGGTTTGGCCGAACCGAGGGGGAGGGTTCGGTATAACTGAGATTGTAGATGTTGTAAACCTAGATAAAATAGAAGAAAGGTACATTTTTTATTTCTCACCTTTCACCCTTTAAACCTTTTTATCTACTCTTTTATTTTTCTCCTGTAATGCTTTTTTATGACTCAACCTGAATTTCCTCTATTAGCCTCATGCAGTTTCAACCTTTTTATTTTACTAAAGCTTCTCTGCAACAAAAATTCTTACTTTAAAAGCAATTTTCATGAATTTTCGATCCTTGATTTTTTGTGTAACATTTTAAGAAAGCCACCTTTTTAACAAAAGTAACTGTTTAAATTTTATGAATTATTATTTTGTTGATAATAAAACATTTAATTCTTGAATTTAGTTCTTTAATAACGTTTATAAAACGTTAAAATCTCCTAGCTCAGCATATTTTGCAAAAAAAATATTTTTTTTTCTTCTCATTTCTAAATGCAACATGTTGCAATTAGAAATTCGACTTAATGCAGTTCAAGGATTATGGATGAATATTATGATATTTCTTAAGAATATCAAATATAAATATTCGAACTTTAAAAATGGATAAATTTAAAAGGTTTAAAATTAAAGGTGTATTACGATCTAAAGGATTTTATTCGCAATATGTGCAATAACTGCTCAAAACTGTGGTTGGCTAAACTTAAATTTAAAATTTATACTATCGAATTCCACAAATTGAATTTTACAAAACAAAATCGTATTGGTAGGTCAGCAAAGAAATTGAGTTTATGCCACAAAAGATGATTTCTTATTCCTATATCTTTGCAATCCATTGTCAAACTTCAAATTTTCAAACTATAAATTATGTCAGATCAAATAATGAAATATCAAAAGGGTAAATCATTAGGTTGCCAAGATATAGGGATTAAAAAAATTGAGTTTTTGGTAAAGACTCAATTCCTTTGTTTCAAATCTACAGCATAAATTGTGACCAATCTAAATGCATTTTTCTGCCTAACTTTATTTATAAAAAATAAATGGAAATGCATCAGTGGATATCAAGATCAAGTTCTCCAGCCAATTTTAAATTTTTGATTAATTTCTTTTTAAAATCTGATCCATGTTCCAGGATTTAGAAATTATTGCGATTATTGTTATCATGGCTTATTACCTAATCTCTAATCAACCATTAAATATAATTTTCATGCTCTGTACCAATCAATTTATAATTGTTCAGGTACATACATTGTACAGGTCTATTCAAATAAAATATTGGATGCGAAATTTACTCAGTTTGTTTTCTTAATTCTTAGTTCAATCCTCTTCACCACTTCACAATCACCCACTTAGAATGCATAATAACTCTTTGTTTTAAATTCAAGAAATTATACCCATTCGATTATGAATCAACTTCTACGGGTTAAATAATTGAAATAATTTGAATTTGTTTTGCAGAAAGTATCATGAGCCAAGAATGATTGATAGCTCTATTTTCTTCCCAATGAATTGGACTTTTCAACTCAACTGTGACAGAATCAGGTAGACAGGTAGACAGGTAGACAGGTAGACAGGTAGACAGGTAGACCAACAGAAAGAATATATATATTCCTAGATCTGATGATTGTATATTTAACCCTGTCCTGAATCTGAAAGATATTAAAGAATACACTGTTCAACTAACTCCACTACAGGTCAATAATGCTTGAAATATACAGTCCTAATCAGAAAGGCCCGGAATTAATTTACATTTAATCGATGAGACGATTTTAAAATTGTCTTTAATATTTGAAAAAAATTACGACATTCATTTCTCAATTTATTTTACAAATGTGATTTATGAAACGATAATAACAAGATAGCCCTAGCTAGTCCTAATGTGGTCTGATTTTTGTGCGTTCAAATTTCACAGATTTAAAGAATTTGGGTTAGTTTTAATTTTATTTTAAGAGAGTGTTCGCGAAAAATGATAGGGGGAAAATAAACGTTTTTGATCGCACTAATCTTACTTTATTTAAGAAAGAAATAAACAAACTATGTACAAAACAAATAATCGTTTTTAAGGGTCTAAAGATAATTAATATATCATAAAATTTCCACAGAAAGAAAGTGTAACAAAATATTATATCCAAGATACATTAATAGCATAGAGAACGGATTGCTATTTTTTATCTCTAACTATAGTCTATTTGTTTATAAATGGTTTTCTTACAGTTTAACCGAGAACTTTGGAGTCAGAGGCGGGGGGTTTATGAGGGCAAAGCCCCCCCCCTGATTAGTGAAATCTATTGATTTCAGGGGGTTTTCAGGCCCCAACGGATGCTGAGCCCCCCACCTGGAAAGAAAAACAAAATTAAGCCCCCCTCCCCTGGAAAAATTCCTGAATACGCCCCTGTTTGGAGTCATCGAAAAAATAAATAAGCTGTCGTTTTCTTAACCTGCAGGGTTACCCAATAAGGATAAGACAATAAAAAAGACCTACAACTCATATAATATCACGATTCAAAGGTTGAATTAAGTCTTTTGTCTAAACTTTAGTCTTTCTATGATTGGATAATAAAAGAAACAAGTTTAGAGCTGTAGGGAATTATGAATATGGAAACAAGCAGTATAATTTCCGTACAGTCGTCTCTGAAGTCTCATTATTCGTGGGTAACCCTGCACATTGATAACAGAATGCTGCAGATATTTAGTTTTTTAATTGAATAATTTTGTATGGAGCTCTTAAAACTGTTTCTGCATATTTCATGGCAACTTTTTTTATTTTTACTGAGATTACTGAGATTGGGGTAAAATAGTATCAAACACAAAAATAAATTGTCAAGACGACATCTTATAAATTTTTTCGATGTCTCCCAAGCTCTGGGTTAAACTTTATTTTAAGATGTAAATTAATCAGACATCATTTTTGAAATCCCAAAGTTTATAAATTTATTGTATTCTATTCTTCTAGATAACTAACAAGAAGGTGACAGATCATATTCATCCTGAATTTATGGTTTCATCCATCCAGCATCCACTTTTTAGGAACATATAAACAAATATTTTAACCAATTTGACCCTCAACACATGTAGATAGTATTAATGCACGTTGTACAAGCAAAATTTAATAATTAAAGTAGACATTGTACCACATTAGTTTCAATATTAGAGAAAATTCATTACGTGTACTTCGCCGTTTTTCATTACACAATCTGTATGTATATGTACAGTACAACCTGATTTTGTTGCTCAAAGGTCGGTGTGGTACATCAAAAGAACAATTCTCATCAAAGGTTGTCAATCTAGATTGCCTCCTTAGAGAGGCATGCAGTGCACCACCGTTTCCACCGCCCCCTCCCCCCTCACAAACAGAAAATGCGTCTTAGATTATGATTTTCTAATTATAAATATATTTGTGTTGTTGAGGAGTAGAAAACCAGTTACCAGAACAATTAATTGCGGCAGCAAATCTGAAATTGCGCAGGTTTTTTTATTTTGATTAATTGAGATTTTAGAGACGAATATGCGAAATTAATACAATAAATGTTCATGATTCTTTATTTATAACTGTGAACTCGTTTTGATCTTAGCAAAATCATTAAATAAGCCTTCAAAGCACTATTTTTAAGGCAAAAGACTTAATCTAACATTTGGACTGTCACATTTTAAAAGCAATCCAACCTTACTGGATATCCACCAAAATCATTTTATTTTGATAACTGTTTTCAGCTCGTCTTCTTTTAGGTTGTCTCTACAGTTTCTACTGGGGTTAAAAGGTTGGGAGAAGAGGTATTTTATATTAATTTATAAATAAACTAGAATTGTTTTTAAATGGAGCCTTTTCAACCGTTATCTAAACAACAACGACAAAATATTAGCTTTCTTCAGATCCTTCAGAGAGAATCCATAAAAGAAAATTATAAAATTTTTGATAAAAAAAAACTTACAAAATATCTTTATGATTTTTGCTTAAACGAATGTCTAAAGTATATTCAAGAGTTTACCTTTCTTAATAGAAGGTAAATTGAATTTACATAAAAAGCAAATATTACTTAAATTCATTAAAATCACAATTCTCGAAAAATACATTTTTTTCTTAGTTTGGAGAGGAAATTCCCCAGCTTATTGACACCAAGGTAAACAAAATACAGTTTAGCCTGGAACAACTTGACCTGACCTGACCTCTTAGCGTGTACACTAAATACAACATGACTGGTACAATTTTGTGACCTCGGAGCTGCTCAAGTTTTGATTTTACTAATATTTAAAAAGGTCTCGGCAAAGTGGCGTTAATATGGAAACGGAGGTTTTGAAAATTAACGGCATAAACAAAACAAAACAAAACAAAAAATAACGATTAAAAAAAAAACAGATATGTTCTAAAATAACGGCGACTTTCGTACTTTTTTCTACTTCAAATTTCATAAAGTTTTATGTTTTTTACATTTTTATTTTTAAATTAAAATTTGTTTACTATATTCTTTAAATATTTGCATGATATCAGATGCAAATATTTTGACATTTCTATACTTCTTGTTCTTCATTTTCTTCTTCTTCGTACATCTTTCAAACATGTTTCTGCTAATTTTGAAAAAAATTGGGGGGGATGTCCTCACAGTATGCCACGCTACAAGCTAGAACTGAGAGGATTTTGCTTTCTTTTTTTCTGAACTCTGTATTGAATTGTTTACTCATGTGTTATGCTTATGCTTTGACCAGTATTGACCCATGTTGACCAAGCTAACGACAGTGCTTTGACCTGTATTGACCCTTTTGATCTAACTGAACAACAGTTAGCTGTATTGACCCTAGTTGACCTAACTAAACGACAGTTAGCCAGTATTGACCTAGCTGAACGGTAGTTAACCTGTATTGACTAATGTTGACCTAGCTGAACTACAATTAATATGTATTGACCCTAGTTGACCTAAATAAACGACAGTTAACCAGTATTGACCTATGTTGACCTAGCTTAACGTTAGTTAACCTGTATTTAGCCTTGTTAACCTAGCTGAAGATAAGTTAACTTGTATTGACCCATGTTGACCTAGCTGAATGGTAAATAACCTGTATTGACCCTAGTTGACCTAGCTTGAACGGTAGTTAACCTGTATTGACCCTTGTTTATCTAGCTGAACGGTAGTTAGCCTGTATTGACCCTTGTTGATCTAGCTGAACGGTAGTTAACATGTATTGACCCTTGTTGATCTAGCTGAACGGTAGTTAACCTGTATTGACCCTTGTTGATCTAGCTGAACGGTAGTTAACATGTATTGACCCTTGTTGATCTAGCTGAACGACTGTGCTCTGACCTGCATGGTGAACTTTGACCGAGACAAGATGTGTAACAATACAGCAGAACCTGTCACCTACAGGTAGCAAATATTTTGATGGACTGAAAATATTAAATATATTTAGTGTTAAAGGAACAATAGACGATTTTTCAAGCGACCGATCATTAAAAGAGTGGCATCTTCGATTCCAGCTTAAACAGTCCCTGAAAATATACCTTTTCAAATTTTGATTTTTAGTCCTGAAGTTACATTTTGGTCCTACATGGCTGTTCGAACTATACTGGGAGTTCTCACTGCGAGTAGTCTCATGATGTTTGAAGGAGCAGTCATGGCAACCATACAGGTACAGGTACAGGTACAGGTACAGGTACAGGTACAGGTACAGGTACAGGTACAGGTACAGGTACAGGTACAGGTACAGGTACAGGTACAGGTACAGGTACAGGTACAGGTACAGGTACAGGTACAGGTACAGATACAAAATATAAATATTTATAGGAGCTGGGTGGTGATTATGGACTACAAAGATTTGTCGGAAACTTTGGAGCAATTGTGTTTGCTCCAATGGGAGGATTTCTAATAGGTAATTCTATAAATTTTTTGATCAAATTTTTCTGAGGACTTAAAAGGAGTCTAATCATATAAGGCAAAAAAATCGACCTAGAAGACTCCAGTTGAAAAATGATAAACAATTTAGGGATTTAGTTAAAGTGGGTCTTCGATGAAAAAAAGATACAACGAACTTATTTAAATATTACAAGTTTAGAAATATATCAAAATAGTTTTATTTAGATATGAAATATGAATAACAGTTTTGTTTAGCTATTACAACCACAACTTACAAGTTAAGAAATATATCAAAAAAAGTTTTGTTTTTATATTACAAGTTTAGAAATATATCCATGATAGTTTTAATTATATATTACAAGTTTAGAAATATATCCAGAATAGTTTTATTTAGATATTACAAGTTTAGAAATATATCCAGAATAGTTTTGTTTAGATATTGCAAGTTTAGAAATATATCCAAAATAGTTTTGTTTAGATATTACAAGTTTAGAAATACATCCAGAATAGTTTTGTTTAGATATCACAAGTTTAGAAAAACATTCAGAATATTTTTGTTTAGATATTACAAGTTTAGAAATACATCCAGAATAGTTTTGTTTAGATATTACAAGTTTAGAAATATATCCATAATAGTTTTGTGTAGATATTACAAGTTTAGAAATATATCCATAATAGTTTTGTTTAGATATTAAAAGTTTAGAAATATATTCATAATAGTTTTGTTTAGATATTACAAGTTTAGAAATATATCCAGAATAGTTTTATTCAGATATTACAAGTTTAGAAATATATCCATAATAGTTTTGTTTAGATATTACAAGTTTAGAAATCTCAACTACGGATTTCTCACCAGTTATATATGTTTACCTGGCCCTTAAACTTCTTGCTTCATTCATGATCCTATTTATCAGGTTATTTTTTAAATTATTTAAAAACCTTTTTTTTTATTTTTAGAAAATAAAACATTCAGCAATGCCTTTTGCTGACTGTGACCACGCTTTAGAAAGCCCATATATATTCTTTATATTCCTGACGATTAATTTGTGATCTACACAGCAACATATTTCGGTTACCAAGTTATATTGTAGGTTTTTTTCAAGTTTGCCATTAAATTTTTCTTACCTTATAACCATTTCATGTTTTTTCATTTGGTAAATTATCAAATGACAACAAAAAAAATTTCGAGAATTTATCAATTTTTTTAATGGAGTTTTAACAAATTTTTGAAGGTAAATTCTTTAATTCATGTCTCTGTAAACCTTCCCTGGGGTCATGTGTCATTTAGGGCCGGATCGGTTCAGCCGTTTTTAAGTTTATTGGACACAAACAAACACCCAAACGTATACAGACAAACAAAGAATATACTCTGTTTTTTTACTTTAAATATCCTTTCGATCATAATCCCAATTATAAGGGTGGGATTGGGTGGGTGGGGTTAGTATAATTAATTTAAAGGCCACACCTATAATGCCCACATAAATTGAAAAGTCGTGTTTTTTAAACTACTCATTTTTGAAATAATTTTAAAAATAATTCAGATTGGATTTCAAGCCGCCAGGAGAAAAAATATTAAGTAATCTGAAGGAAATTGTTACGAATGCCGAGGTAAACTAAAATAATATTAAAAATATTTGAAAATTAACAATTTTCAGAATAGTTCTTTGCAGCCAAGGTTATAATGCAAAGAGAGTTATTTCAGAGGTGTACGCATCTTTTGTACTGCAGTGTACTGTCTCTGGGCGGTAATGTAAACACAAGACGGATGTCAAAGCCTAACATGGGATCCATACCCTGTTTCTGTACACAATGTTTCAATACTCATACCAAGGAATAAAAGTTCCAATTAAAAGGACTGTATAAAGGAAAAATGGAAGGAAGTATAGACTGAAAGCTAATCACTTTAGCTCTTGATTGCGACCCATGAAAGTTATATCTGATGTTCCTGTATCGAGAAATTGATATAAAACTGTATCAAAAACGAAAATTCAGATATATATTTCGTCACCAGATGGTGGTAGTGCAGTAGAGTGATCAAGTGTCTTTGTCTGTATCAAGTGACCAGTATACTGCACTCAAAGATAATAGAATATATATTAGAGTGGAATTTAGACAATCCCTCGGTATGAATTTTGTCAGTCCCTTTTAGCCTGAAAGGGAGTTAAAAGTGTACAAATCATGTAAATGTTCCCAAATTATATGCAGTAGAGTACATTAATACAGAATGTTCCTTAGACTTTCCATTTTAATTTCGAATTTTTTAAAGCTATTATATAAACTTTATAAAATGAATTAGGTGAATAAAAACATCATTTGATTTATAGTTATAACGGAAAATCATCGTTTGTAAAGTTAAAGGCATGGAGTCTATGTGAAATGATCATTGGTCAATTATGAAACCAGCCTATTTCATAATTTGGTTTTCTTTTCATATTAATTTTAGATTTTCTATAAAAATGATGTTCCGGGACCCAAAAGGTTATAAAGCACAAATATGAGAAGTACACCTGTAGTATGGAAAAAGTACAACAAAATGGCTGTTTCACACTTTTTTCTAGTAAATTCCACTCTAATATATATTCTATTCTCTTTGACTTCACTCCATTGGTGGGAGTTCTATCATTTTTCCTTTACAGTCCATTTAAGATAGATTTTCTTATTTATTACTCATTCGATTTTTATAAAATGGAATTTTGTTTTCTGAAACAAAACCTTTTAAAAAATGAATACTAATGCCTCTAGTGGTGTAGAGTGCATCACATTAATATATTTTATAGCCTTTTACTCTTTTGCGAGTGCTTTCAAGAAATCTGATATTATTTTGTAATTTTGTTTTCCTTGACACGGATCCAAATCTTCGTTAACATCTAAAATTTCTGAACATTTCTTAAAAGATTAAAACAACTTAAATTGTGTTTGTTTTATTTTTAGACGATCTCGGCGCTAGTAAACTACAAATGGGCTGGACTGTTACTATTGGTAATACTCAATACTTAATCATTTATTATCAAAAATATATCTAAATCTATAAAAAAAACTTTATCAAACTATATTTTAGGAATGATCACATCCCTTCCATTCTTAATCTTTAGTGGACCAATAACAGAAGTATGATAATAATAAATGATAATAATAATAATAATAATAATAATAATAATAATAATAATAATAATAATAATAATAATAATAATAATAATAATAATAATAATAATAATAAAAATAATAATTTTAGGTGTTAGGTCATGTAAATGTAATAATACTTGGAATGGTTGCGTATACTGTTCGTCTCCTAGGGTACAGCTTTATACAGGTAATGTACTGTTATGTACACTGTACATAATGTACACCAAACATTACTTTCAAAACGGGGTTTTTGGAAAGTTTTAAAAGGTTATTATTCATTATATTATTATATTCTTAGATTTAGCATTTAAGAAAAAATATTTCGTTGTGTCTTTTATTTAATTATGTTTTTTTTGTTTTCGGTTTAAATTTCAAAAGTTTAAGCCCTCACTTTATAAGAAAATTAAAACTAGAATTTAATGAACAAAAAAAACTAATTCCGACCAAAAATCCCATTTTCAAAGACACAAAAAATACTTTTAAATACTTTTCAACAATTTTTCACCTTGTTTGTAAATAATTTAGAAAGCTGTTTACGTCTACCCATTCGAGGCTCTCGAAGGGTTCACCATGGCGCTCATGATGACGTCAGCAGTGACCTATGTGGCGAAGATATCAACGCCGACCACCATCGCCTCCGTCATGGGACTAATGGGATCTCTGTTCTTTGGGATTGGGAAAGGATCAGGATGTTTATTTGGTAAAAAATTTTGTAACAAACTGTATTTGGAATATCTAACAAAACAAAACATTTGTTAGTCTTCAATCAATAATTTGAGATTAAATAGAGATCGATAATGAAGAATTTTGATTGACAAGTCAGATTGAAGTTTGGGTTGATTATTGATGTTTTTTTTTGGAGCCAATATTTGTGTAAATTTAGATGGGCATCGTTAATTCTGTTTCTTTTTAACATTTAACATTCTTTATTTTAAAAATAAAAAGGCTCCAAAAAGTTTGCGATTCTAAAACCATACTTTTATTGTGACACATCTTTATCATGACAAAATATAAAAAGATATTATACATATAATCAAAATTAAAGTTTTTCCAATTTTATAAAGCAAACTTATAGAGTACTAGCTTGGAAACCCATCTTTGCCGGAAATTATTCCAATAAAATGTCAACCATTTTAGTAAATTTTATTTAAACCAGGCTAAAGATATTCCCGTTGTTCTAACCTCATCCCCGATTTAAATTTCAACCAAATTGGTGAATAGGTTCATAAGTTATGATCGGACATCTAAAAGAAACCGCAATTGAAAATTACCAGTTTTCAAAATTATAAACATTGATATGTAATTCATACTTGAGCAGACAAAGTCTTTATGTGCACTGTGGTCAAGTAGGCTTTTCCACCTCTGCATAAAGGTTCACTTGAAATTACGCTTACTGTCTCTTTAAGCAGATGAAAAATAATTTCCTTATTAAGGTGGATTATTAATTATAGTAATTTCCTTATTAAGGTGGATTATTAATCATAGTAATTTCCTTATTATGGTGGATTATTAATTATAATAATTTCCTTATTAAGGTGGATTATTAATTATAATAATTTCCTTATCATAAGGTGGATTATTAAATATAATAATTTCCCTCTTAAGGTGGATTATTAATTATAATAATTTCCTTCTTAAGGTGGATTATTAATTATAATAATTTCCTTATTAAGGTGGAATATTAATTATAAAAATTTCTTTATTAAGGTGGATTATTAATGAGCTGGATCGGATCTATTTGGACTTTTCGCGCACTCGCAATCTGCTCGGCCGTGTGCGCAGTTGTATATTTGGCTTTTCAGGTAAAACTATAGATACATTTAATTAATAAAATTCCTGATCCGTATTAAGAACATTTTGTTTGCAAACTTGAAATTACCAAAACATTTAAAACTTGCTGACATTTTGTTCAAAAACTACAAGAAGCATTATAAAGGGATATCAAATTTGTGATATTGATGTTATGGGAATCATCTAACAATTTGTGATATTGATGTTATGGGAATTATCTAACAATTTGTGATATTGATGTTATGGGAATCATCTAACAATTTGTGATATTGATGTTATGGGAATCATCTAACAATTTGTGATATTGATGTTATGGGAATCATCTAACAATTTGTGATATTGATGTTATGGGAATTATTTTGTGATATTGATGTTATGGGAATCATCTAACAATTTGTGATATTGATGTTATGGGAATCATCTAACAATTTGTGATATTGATGTTATGGGAATAAAAGGAATAAATATTATAATTCTGTTTAATATACAAACTCACTGTTAACTTCTTTTCAAAAAAGGGACAATAGGGAAAATAGTTGAAAACTTTGGTTTCAATAGGGAATCAAGGGGTCAGGGGGATGACTGCTTTATGTCACAATACTCCTCTTTATTTGTCTTGTATTTTATGTTGAGAATGGAAAAATGAAAATATTCTGATAATCTTTTCATTTACAAACATAGTATCAATTGTAGCTATAGCATTGATTTATAATGATTTCAATTTATAATTACTTTTCCCGTTCATATAGAGCGTCCCATATCATATTAAATTATCTCCAATCTTTAACACCAAAATAAACCCTTAATACTCGAAAAACTAATCATTTTCCGCAAGAAAATTCTTATATAAGCCTTATGTTATTTTACAAAATGATTCATTCTAATGAAATTTTCTAATTAGTCCCGAAAATCGTAATTTAGATCCGTTCTCGGTCTAATATGATATGGGACACCCTGTATATTTATCCTTGAATAGAACCCGCAATATCTTTAGATGTCGTCTTTGTTAAAGCAAGCTTTCTCGAAAAAAAACATATATTTTATACAAGGTGTCCCAATAAATATTGGAATTTAGTGACGAATTCGATATCGTTTTTGTTATGAATTAGTATAGTAATAACTAATTTCAAAAGCCATAGTATTATTCTGTCTGCTAGAGTTTATTTTATGAAAAAAACGGTAAATTGCTGTAAAGATATGTCATATAATGTCAACGCAAGATGAGAGTGAAGACGGACAAGTTTACTCTGTAATTTTCTTCTTTTACTAAGTACACCCTTATGCACTGCAGTCAAAACATAAACAAATTGTAAACATAGCAGACGAAAATCTTTCATAGTAGGTAGGTATCACTATACAAAATCAAAGAATTATGTTGAAGGACGATATCAAATTCGTCACTGAATTCCCAGCTGTGTAGCAAAAGCACAAGAAAGCATAGGGGTTTCGGGATAATCTAAATATATAAATGTATTCTATAAATAGCCATACAGAAAAGATTTAGCAGCACCCCAAATCCTTGAAATAGTCACAGAAGCGTGTTGAAAATCCTATGCTGAGAGCTTTCAATGAAATAGCGGGTTTTCGGTCGAAATTCTTAACTAAAACATAACATTTAAACAACTTTGAGACTTTTCTCAAAAAAAATTCTTCAGCGGCCAAGTCTTATTTGACATAAATAAGAGTTTAATGGAATAAACTCATTTTGATTGACCCCCCCTTAATACCCAACTGTGCCCCCCTCCCTTGAAAGGGAGTTTAAAAACAAAATATTCTGTTTATTTTATCCAATATACATCCTCAAATTGAATGACGATATTTTTTTGACGAACTTTGAATTTTTGTGAACATTTTCTTATTTTTATTTTATTTTTTTAGTTGCTCTTCATTTGGCCTCGTCGGAGAAACCAACCACAGCATCAGAGCAATGAAGAAATTCACAACTCCGAGGGCAAAGACGACATTGATTCTAAAAATCGTATTCACGACATGAACACAAAATCAACAATACTAGACGACAACCCTGTGATATCACCAGCTGGTCCCGGACCACACAGCATGTTCAACGGGTCCACGTTGTCCTTGAATGGACCGGCCAGTATGTTGAATACTAGTCTAAATGGATTAAATGGGGCCAGCAGTATAATGTCCTTAGGACCAAGAAGTATAACCGGCGGTACGCGAGTCTGATTGTACAACATATGTACTTTTCAGTATTGCTATGGTTTGTAGTGTACTTTTCTGTACTTACTGAATTGTATTTTACTAAACTTGTAGTGAAGTGCAGCTGCAATGTTCTGCACTGCATAAGTGTGCTGTAGTGTACTTTATTGTTCTGAACTGAATTTTATATCAGTGAACTGAACGTACTATGAACCATTCCCAATAGCTCAATTATCATATATAGTGCAAAAGAAACAATATAAGAAATATGACTGTGAATATGGTGGCCCGAGTATTATTAATATTGCTTGTGAAGTTAAAATATTTTAATAAGTGAACTAAGCACATTCTAAGAAAGCTAAATCTGATTAACAACACTTTTGTTTAAAATCAATAATAAAAAGACATTAAAAATTTATTTACAATTTATCATAAATCAAATTGTAAAAATGATATAATAAAAAATTTATATAATGAAATATAATTATGAATAATTAGTAACGTTATTAGAGAAAAAGATTAATTAAGGGTTACCAATAAAGAATACGCATTTAATGACAACATAAATTCTAAAATATATTGTAGATCGAATTTGTTGTCTTTCGCCGGCCGTCCACTTCGAAATACATTTTTTCTTATATTAAAACACACAAAGGATGACACTTAGGAGACGATTGTGCGTAATTAGTCCGTTTTCTTGGATTCATGGATCCTTGTAGGCCAAAACTGCCTTATTTCTGCAGTGCAATATCTTTAAATAAACCATCAAAACACTCAGTTGAACGCAATAAAAAAAATCAAGCTTTACATCGTCAGATTTTGTTTCGTCTATATCCTCCTTTGTGGGTAACCCTGTATAACACTGTTATAATACTGTCATTTTTCGTGGGACACTCTGTTTGTAAAAGTAGGTTATAGCGATTGAATGTCACCATAACACAAAAAGTTCAATGACAACTTTTAAATTATGTTTCATGGGACACCCTTTAGCTTCTTCTAGAGTATTTTTTTTTATACAACTTTGAAAAACTGTTTTGTTCTCTGTAATTTAATAAAGGCTCCTCTAAAATCTGATATGTTCTGAACATAAAAAAAATTTCTTCAATTTATATTTTTTTTATTAGGACATTACATGACCATCAAATACATATTTATCAAACATGAGATATATCTATTATTATTTCATATTGTTGGTTCTTCTTAAAATGCAAAACTTGGTATAAATTCAAAATTTATTTGCAACATTTTTTATGTCGTAACTTTTATGAATTTAATAGATTCTTGACAAAAATGCATATCTAGATTTAATTACAAAATTTACAATTTAATTTTAATATGAAAAATTTTCAGCATTAGTTTGTAAATTTGCCTGGACAAAAATTATACAATTTTTTTGTTGTTTAGGTTAATGTTAGGGACGTAGAGGAGGGGGGGTAAGGGGGCTGTTAGAATTGCAGGTAAATATTGTCTGCCTATCTATTAATATCATGTTATCCCCTCCCCCACGCAACATAGAGAAAAATATAAAATAAATGCGGGTATTTTACAAAAACATTTAACAATATTGATATTTATATCTTCAAAATACATTTTCATTATTTTTCTTTATTAATGAGATTTCCACTAAATTTGATGAGTTAAAGAATAAAGATAAAGAAAACCAATATAAAGTTTTTGGGAGCCGAGGGGTGCCGGAGCTCTTGGGTCTAGGCTCTCCAAGAAGGTTTTTTTTTTGATCCAACCCTTATCTTATCTTATATGAAGAACGAAGGAAATGGCATGTTCGAGGGAAAGAAATGGGAGAGGGGAGGTTATGTGGGAGGAAGGAAGAGGGAAGGTTATTTAGAAGGAAAATGAGGGGGGGGGGGAATAAGGAAGGTTATGTATACACAGTATAAAACTCTCCGTCGTCATCTAGTTCCTCTCCTCCATCCGTCTCCATTCTGGCATGAGATAATACTGGACTCGGAGTCAGATCTAGAAATTATAAGTTCAATTGTCTCGTGCTAATTAGTATCCGGTGGATTTGTAAAATCTTAGCTCCGTGTATCCGTATCCGGATTGTATCCGGATGCACAAAAATATACGAATCTCTACAGATCTGGATCCAACTGACAAAGTATCGACCAAAATATTGAGAAAAAAGTGCTGTCCAATACGTTGGTTCGTTTTTGCGAGTTTTTTGACAGTTAAAAGGTTCCGCAAAAATCTGAAAAGTTAAAAAATTTCAAAATATGCAACAACAAAAACGATCAAAAAACGAACGATTACAGTAAACTACAGTAAACGAGTATGGGTTCACACCCTTTGCTAATGGTGGATGTCAAAGTCTACTACAGTCAACGAGTATGGGTTCACACCCTTTGTTAACGGTGGATGTCAAAGTATACTCCACTCAACAAGAATGGGTTCACACCTTTTGCTAATGGTAGATGTCAAAGTCTACTACAGTCAACAAGAATGGGTTCACACCCTTTGCTAATGGTGGATGTCAAAGTCTACTACAGTCAACAAGAATGGGTTCACACCCTCTGCTAATGGTAGATGTCAAAGTCTACTACAGTCAACAAGAATGGGTTCACACCCTCTGCTAATGGTGGATGTCAAAGTCTACTACAGTCAACAAGAATACATTGCTACTTTTGTTGAATCAATATGTATTCATAAGTTCAATGAATGCATTCCTGAAAATGTTTTGATTATTTGAGTGCTGACTAGTTATCTACTTGTAAATGCACAATGAATGTATTTTTAGTTGAGTTTTCAATATGTATACTTTGTTTCAACAAATACGATCAAAACAAAATTATCAAACAATATACTTTTAATTGGCTCATAATAAATTTTCTTTTGTGTTTTATTTTAAGCTGAACCATCATGCATTATTATTTTGTATTTTGTGTTTGAAAATAAATACTATAACTATAACTATTTATTTTCTTTTTCTCTTAAAATAAACGCTGAAAGTTTATTTAAAAGTATTTAAAAACTAACCATATCGTTTAACAATCCTAACTACACTGTACTTCACTCCACCACAAAACTTTAAGTAAAAGAAAAAATGCAAGATTTGCAATATGAAATGTTATGTACAGTACTGCATTGTTTACCTGTACTGTCCTGAGATGGTTTAATGTACATCTGAGTGTAAGTAGTTAACGTCATCATATGTTTAACCCTGAGATGGTTTAGTATAGCAGTGTACTCATGCTTTACATTCTTCTTACACACCTAGAAATAGAATAATAATACAATATAAATGTCGTCTTCTTAAAAATTATTTCAGAATTTAATCCAGAGATGGGATTTTAAAAGCTTAAACCCAAGTAAAACCCGGTCTTTTCGTCTGCTTAGACACAAGTAAAGCTCAAGTCAAGACCCGGGTTTTGGATGCCTTGAGTTTAGTAAGAACCAACCATCTTGGGTTTTTCTCTCTTTAAGGCTCGAGTCTTCAGCAACTGATGATCGTAAATTTTGTAAAATCTTTTAGATTTGTACGTTTAAAATCTCGGGAATTATTTGTGGTGTAAAAATTTATTAATTACTAGGCTTTTAGGGCGCTTCGCGCCCATCTTCTATTTAAATTGTGAACATGTTCTTTTTGTTTACAAAGAAAAAAATTTCGCGGATTTTTAAGAATTTAATTTTTTTTACAAAATTAATAACACATTTTTTTTTATTTTTATCATTCGTAAACCTTCCCTGTGGTCGCGTGATGTCCAAAAGAAATTTGGACCCGATCAGTTCAGCCGTTTTGACGTTTATTGGATACAAACAAACAAACAGACAGACAGACAACCAGACAGACAAGCCAAATTTATATATAGATGTAAAATAAACATACTGTATCTACATAAAGTTTGAACTTTCGAAATTTATATCTCCCTGTCACAGTTGATCTAATGGCATTATGTCTGCTATAGAAAGAGTCTCTCATTGGTTGAATCAGGACTTGGGTTCTATCTAAGCCCGAGTTTGGGTTTTAGTCGGGTTTAAAGCTTTTAAAATCTCATCTCTGGAGTCCTTTTTTTGCAAACACTACAATGAACGACCAGAGTAGGTCTTCGTCTGTGTACGTCCTAATTATCTATGTTTCAGATAAGAATCTAACCGTCTAACCGGAGACATCTAGCTGGTAAAAAATTACGACCTAATTCTAAGGAGAAAAGGGCTCTGATTTATAAATATATTTTTGATATCTTTTCTCTCTTTAATTTTTATAAGATGATAGCCTGAGAACCCAGCGTTGTCCAGGCAACTCAATAGTCCCGCCGTTTACCCGCACTTAGTCACAAATTACGATTTTTCCACTCGATATAGAATCCAAAACCAAACTAAGAACATTCCCGTGGTTCTACCGAGTTCCCCAATAAAATTTTGATGCAAATCGGTCCAAAGGGTCATGAGTTATGATCAGATATACAAACTAACAGATTGCTATTTTATATATATATAGCTAGCTACAAAGTAAACCAAAATAAATTTTAGACACCTTTTAAAGTTGTACAAACTTTTCTTGGGCGCATATTCTGTCCTAAATTACTTATCAAAATGTCGGTCAAACCTTTAATATTCCCTAAATTATCATGTTTTATGGGGCACACGGCATATTAGCAACTTATAAATTTAGCTTATGATTTTCCACTGCGAGGCTTTCAGCAATAGCAACCAATTTTCAGGGAAAAGGGGGCTGGGCCGAATCCCCCCCCCCCCCCCATCTTCTTTTACTTCAAATACCTAGACTGTAAACATGAATAAATGAATTCTAACCTGGCAAGTATGAAGCTGAAGGGATACAGCAGCACTTCCAAAATTATTAGAATATTTGTCGGCGGCCATATTGTGCGCTAGCTGAATGTGCTTTTTAAACACGAACTCCTGAATAAAAAACTTAAATAATTTCTAAATTCCAAAAACCAAAGAAAATGCATTGAATTTTGTCTAGTTCAGTTTCTAGGATTTTTTAAAAGTACAATTCCTGTACTGTAGTTAGGTTGAGCGCATAAACATTCCAGAATCTGCAGTACACATTCCAGAATCTGCAGTACACATTCCAGAATCTGCAGTTCACATTCCAGAATCTGATGTACACATTCCAGAATCTGCAGTACACTTTTCTGCAGTACACTTTTCTGTAAACAAAGATTTGGAGCCTTTGTATACTTCGCTAGAAACTGACCGTCACAAGTTTTTTTTTTTAAATGCTAGATTCTCAACTTTTGAATAAATCCTATTTCCTAAACATAAAGTCCCCCCCCCCAACCCCAATTGCGCAAATGAAAATTAACTTTAATCAAATTGTTACCTCGGGGAATGTAATTTCTGGACACATTACACAACGGTAGGTACACCCGTTAGCCCAATGGTTCTTACGGACCTTAAAAACAGCATTTTTATCAGTTTTTTAACATTCACGATTTTTAGACTTTCAGAGTCAAAATATATTGAATTTGAGACGCGTCTTAAATACACCAAAAATAGGTTTAAATTGAGCGCCGGCTTAGATCTTGAAACATTGAATACAATTTTAAGTGGAACCAACCATACTTGAGCTGCGTCTCAAATTAAAGCCGCGGCTCAAATTCAACCTCAGGAGACTTCAAACAAAGTATCTTAAAGCGAACTCATCTAGAAATGTTCAGTTACATATCACATATTAAGCCTCCTAAAACTGAAAACCTTGAAAAATAAAATTCTTAGTCACTTGAAGTTTCAACTTCTCTCATCGTCGATTTTAATGAAAAAAAAATCACATAAAAGAAAAAAATCCTAATCCTCAGAACAAGTGATTTAAAATTACTTGTGGGGCTTTCAAGCCATAAAAAATTGTCCTAAATAGATAATTGCATCTTTTAATCAGAAATGAATTACAAATAAGAAAAAAAAACCAACCCTACCTTGAAAACCAAGGGTTTTCGAGTATCAGGAACTTGTTTTGAAGGATCAGAAACTTGTTTTGGCGGATCAGAAACTTGCTTTGAAGGATCAGAAACTTGTTTTGAAGGATCAGAAACTTGTTTTGAAGGATCAGAAACTGGATTTGAAGGATCAGAAACTGGATTTGAAGGATCAAGAACTGGTTTTGAGACATCTAAAGGTTCGGATTTGGTATCAACTTGTTTGAGCAGCAAACTGGTTGGTTTTATCTGCAGGCTGGGGGGTTTAGGTAGACTTCCAGAAATTTTCGGGGATTTATCGTTGCTGCTGCTGCTGCTGCTTGGAGACTCAGCTTTCTCAGATAAACCCTTCTTGGGTTTGTTCACTGGAAAAAATAAATTCAACAAATCTTAAATATTTGAAAATTAAACTTTTGTAAAATTTGTGTTCATACAGCCATAACAAGGATAAAGAACTTCTTATATAGGATCCGGGGTTTTATGATTTGAGCACAAGTTTTGCGGATCCGAATCAAGGAATCCAATATGTTGCGGATCCAACTATAATAAGGGAAATACAACTTACAAATATATTTATGATAATATTGTTGAGGAAATAAGCTGTGTGTTTGGAGATGAGCAGCTAATATCCCAGGTAGCAGTTCTACATCCTCCCCACAGACAAGGCAGCAGTGCTTCTTCTTCTTCTCGCTGCTCCCATGTAGTGTTGTGTACTGGTCCAGGGAGATAGCGTGGGACTCGGTGATATGAGTGTTAAACTTTCCAACATCTCCAAATATTGTTGTCTCGCACACAGCACAAATCCTACTCTCCCCAACACTCCACATATCAACCATCTAGAATAATGATAATGATGATAAGATGATACTGATGATAATGATGATAATAATGATAGTGATGATATTGATGATACTGATGATACCGATGATACTGATGATAATGATGATGATACTGATGATACTGATGATACTGATGATACTGATGATACTGATGATACTGATGATACTGATGATACTGATGATACTGATGATACTGATAATATTGATGATACTGATGTTAATGATGATACTGATGTTAATGATGATAATGATGATAATGATGATACTGATGATAATGATGATAATGATGATACTGATGATACTGATAATAATGATGATAAAAATGATGCTGATAATACTGAAGATACTGATGATAATTCTAGTGATGATAATGATGATAATGATGATTATGATAAAGATGAGAATGATGATAATGATAATAAAAAAGATAATTCGCTTAAAGTTAAGATTCTCGAATTAGATTAAAAATAACAATTGAGTACCGTACAGGATTCACCACGGTGTCCAATTAAACCTTAACATCAGTTAAGGCTTGGAACTACTGACAAAATCTCTTTGTCAAAATAATATATAAATTCGTCAAGCAAGAGTTTTTCAAGAAAACAGTTGCAAATTCTTTAATAATATTTACAAGATGTCGAAGAATGGCTTAAGAAAAAGTTTCAGTAAAAAATTAAAATAAATATTTAAAACCTACCTTTTCAAGAGATTCCACAGGTTCCGCATTAATTTCATCCTTGGGCAAATGTTCTAGCTAAATACAGATTTATTATTCCCCGTGTGGATTTATTGCAATACTTCTGAATAAGGTCTTACACTAGAACCCTTAAACTTATTGAAAGTCTAACCTAATAGCAAGAAAAAACTGCATTTTTTGTAAAGAGTGTAGGAAGATCAAAGGTGATTTATTCCCCAAAAAAAAAACAAAAAAATGCTAGCATTAATTTATTTTCTTTTTATGCTCTTTTTCTTTTCTGTGTTCATTGGATTAAAATAATAAAGCTTCAAAGCGCTAAAACCCTACAATACCTTTGCGCCCGATCGGTTCAGCCGTTTTCATGTTTATTGGATAAAAAACAGAGCAAATTTATGTATTTCGTTTTACCTGATTGAGATATTGTTGCTCATACTCCCCCATAGTCAAACTGTGAGATTTCAGATGGTCATTTATTCCAGAATATGTCCAGGACACAAACCTTGTACAGCCGGGTACCCTGTACAGTTAAAAATATGTATATGTACAGCAGAGAGACAAACCTAGTACAGCCGGGTACCCTGTACAGTTAAACACATGTATATGCACAGCAGAGAGACAAGCCTTGCACAGCCATGTACCCTGTACAGCTAAACATATGTATTTGTACAGCAGAGAGACAAACCTTGTACAGCCATGTACCCTGTACAGCTAAACATATGTATATGTACAGCAGAGAGCCAAACCTTGCACAGCAATGTACCCTGTACAGCTAAACATTTGTATATTTACAGCAGAGAGACAAACCTTGTACAGCCATGTACCCTGTACAGCTAAACATATGTATGTGTACAGAAGAGAGACAAACCTTGCACAGCCATGTATCCTGTACAGCTAAACATATGTATATGTACAGCAGAGAGACAAACCTTGTACAGCCATGTACCCTGTACAGCTAAACATATGTATATGTACAGCAGAGAGACAAACNTCCTGTCCTGTCCTGTCCTGTCCTGTCCTGTCCTGTCCTGTCCTGTCCTGTCCTGTCCTGTCCTGTCCTGTCCTGTCCTGTCCTGTCCTGTCCTGTCCTGTCCTGTCCTGTCCTGTCCTGTCCTGTCCTGTCCTGTCCTGTCCTGTCCTGTCCTGTACCTGCAGTTGTACTGTTTAATCTCCTCCTGGCTACCGAACTGTTCTCTATACTCTCTAAGGTTCATCCCATGCTTGCTGTTGATATGGCTGATGTAGCTCACCTAAATATCCCAAGAATTATGTAAATGCGGAAAACTGTTTGTTTAAAATGCTTGAAAATAAATCATCGATATTCTCTAGTTTAACAGATAAAATGTGGAAACTTAGATTCTAGAAATAATTCAGAAGTTAATTTAGTCTTCATCAGATAATTTTTTATCTGATTTATTTTGTAAGTTATGAAAGTTAGTTTTGTTTTGAATTGATGATTTTACTCAAGAACGGGAAAGTGGTTTTTGTCTCGAAAACAGTACAATGTTTCAAATTCAGGTTATGTTCGAAAATGTAAAACCTGACATTGTCAAGAGATTTAATCTAAAAAGAACTCTTATTAAAATTTTGATTTTAAAAAAGTTTAAAATTGGGAATTGTTGTCCTCGTCATGTTTAATAAAACGTTGGTTATAGTTTTTATTATCGACTTTTACTCTGGATATGGGTCGGAAACCCAAAAACACAGTCTTTCAATTTGTGCCCATTTCTAACACAATCGTGTTAGAAATGGGCCAAGTGTTAGTTTTCAAACTAATGTCCCCTGCAATAACGATTAAATTATATCGAGCCTAGAAAAAGTAATAATTCGTTTTATCCATAATACACTTTGCACACTTTTTCCCACGTGATTTATAAATATTTGATCTATCTATTATGAAGCACCAGTTAGCTCCGAGGAACTACCAGATGAATCATTAAAAATCTATTGTATTCATATTCCTTTCTATCAAATACGGGATTTACAAATTATTTTTAATGAGATGTTTTACGAGAATCTGCCGAGAAAGTATAAAATAATGTCTTACTTTAGTTTTACAGGAAATTTCCACGTGATTTATAATTTGCCCTTGTTTTTGTTTCATTATGTTTATGACACCGTCCACCAATTTAAATGATTTCCCATTTCAATAGTAGCTATTCAAAAATGATCAAAATTGGTGTTTTTCTGTGTAAAAAGTGATAATTTTCAATTGAAGTTTCTTGGCGTCTCTGCATGGTACATGATAAATATAATCTGTACCATGGTATATATAAACTGTACCTGAGCAGTAAACTGTCTATTACAAGGTATACATGTAAAGTTTGATCCTCTATACCAAGGGATCCTAGGATCAGAGCTCCCATCTGCTCCAGGTTTAGCTGGACTACCCTCACTTATCGGGATAAATTGAGTACCTTAAAACATAAGATGTAAGGGTATTCACCAGTAGAAGAATCTATCAGACCCCCTGACCTGAGGGGTCTGATGGGGTTCCTGAGCTGAAAACTTTAGAATGAAATATCCAGATATCCCGTCGAATAATTAATCTGAAGTTTAAAATCATGCAGAGTTACTGCAATATTTAATCTCGAAATTTATGAATTTAGACCTTTTATGATATCCACCATTCTAAAGTTTTCAGCTCTGTACAGTTAAACATATGTATAAGTACAACAGAGAAACAAAACTTGTACAGCCGGGTACCCGGTATATTTTTAAGCATATTATTATGTACAGCCACGTACAGTTTAACATGGAAAAATGTACAACAGAGAGTCAGAATAAATACAGCCAGTGGTTGGGTATATGACTTAGAAGAAATTGCTGATAAGGCTAGATGTACGACTATTACTACCTGTAAGGCTAGATGAACGACCAAAACTACCAGTAAGGCAAGATGTACGACATGACTACCTGTAAGGCTAGATGTACGACTATTACTACTTGTAAGGCTAGATGTACGATTTTGACTACCCGTAAGGCTAGATGTATGACCATGACTACCTGTAAGGCTAGATGTACGACTATGACTACCTGTAAGGCTAGATGTATGATCATGACTACCTGTTAGGCTAGATGTACGACTTTAACTACCTGTAAGGCTAGATGTTCGATTTTGACTACCTATAAGGCTAGATGTATGACCATGACTACCTGTAAGACTAGATTTACGACTATGACTACCTGTAAGGCTAGATGTACGACTATAACTACCTGTAAGGCTAAATGTTCGATTTTGACTACCCGTAAGGCTAGATGTATGATCATGACTACCTGTAAGGCTAGATGAACGAATATGATTACCTGTAAGGCTTGAAGTACGACTATGACTACCTGTAAGACTATATGTACGACTATGCTGTAAGACTAGATGAACGACTATAACTACCTGTCAGGCTAGATGAACAACCATACTAGCAGTAAGGCAAGATGTACGACTATGACTACCTGTAAGGCTAGATGTACGACTATAACTACCTGTAAGGCTAGATGATCGATTTTGACTACCCGTAAGGCTAGATGTATGCCCATGACTACCTGTAAGGCTAGATGTACGACTATGACTACCTGTAAGGTTAGATGTACGACTATGACTGGCTGTAAGGCTAGATGTACGACTTTGACTACCTGTAATGCTAGATGTACGACTATAACTACCTGTAAGGCTAGATGTACGACTATGACTGGCTGTAAGGCTAGATGTACGACTATGATTACCTGTAAGGCTAGATGTACGACTATGACTGGCTGAATTAGATCTTCTACTTTCTCCAATAGTAACTACAGGATTAGGAACCTGTTCTTCATATTCTTCCAGAGACATGCTGTGCTTCGCCTGAACACATCTTGGTAAAATCCGGGAATGTTGTCTCTGTCAAGTTCGGTGTCTTTGTCTACGTTGTTGTCTCTAACTATGCTGTTGTCATTGTCTATATCGTTTTCTCTGTCTCTGTCGTTGACTCTGTCTATTTCATTGTTTTTGTCTACGTTGTTGTCTCAGGATATGTCGTTGTCTTTGTCGTTTTTATGTTTTTGTCTCTGTTTACGTAGTTTTCTCTGTCTCTATGTCTGTTTCTGTTTGCAACCTCTAAATGATATTTGATAATATCCCGTTCACATTTCATGGTTCTGGTACAGAGTGAACAGTTAAATATTCTCGTCTCTATCTCACAGCTTCCATACTCAGTCTAAAATTGAGATTAGAATAAATTAACAAAAATATTAAAGGAATAAATAACGTAATTACAATTCTGACCCTATAATGGGAGTGACCTGCAAGTAATGAGTGGTAAAGCTGAACGTGTTGTCTTAAAATGACTTTTAGAATAAAGTGGAAGTTCTTACAAGAAACGTATTTTTACAATTACTTAATTGTCCAAGAAAGAATTGTACTGAAAAATAAACTATTATGATATTTTAAAAACAAATTATGAATGATAATCACTGAACATAAATCAGTTACTCATTAAAAAAAATATATTCGCATATTTCTTCAAAAGTCATCTTATAGTGATATAATCCACGAAAAACGGCAAAACCTTTCGGATCAGGTGGAATTTCAGAAAGGGACACTTAAAATAAGGTCCCATTCCCTTCCAGANCTATTTTACCTCATATTGTGCTCTTGATAATTTATGAACAGAATCCAGATGGTAACGACATGCTTGTGGATAATGCCAGTTCTAAAATTAAAAATATAAGATTCACCTATTTTTCTGTTTTCATTTTGTAGGAGTTAAGAATGTTAAAAATAAAATTCTTTCCCCCAGGCATTTGAACAAGTACTAATATTTGGCATTTTTTCGAAAACAATATCAAGAAAATATATTTCTAAAAATAAAATCATTTCTCTCCACGACATTCGAGATATTAGATTTTGATGCTAATATAAGATTTTACTCTCATATTTCTAGAATATGATAAGAAGTTTCATGTTTAACTTTTATTTTTGATATCTTAGGCATTACGATTTCTAAAAATCACTTATCTATCAGGGGGAAAAATAGAAATTTTAAACTGAAAATATTCTTTTTTTGATTTATTCTTTATATTGTTCAGAAAATACATACTACATCTATATATAATATATATATACATATATCATATATATCATGGATTGCGTGTCTGTTTCTTAGGATCCAAAAAACGTCGAAACGGCTGAACCGATCGGACTTAAATTTTTTGTGACAAGCGTATGACTGGCCGAGATTGAAAAACGTTGGCGGGTAGAAAATATCGAAATTTATTTTTATCGAAAATCCAATTTAAACTGAAAAATCTATAAAAAAAAGAATGGTACTAGATAAGCTTTATTTATAATAAATTACCTTATTACAAATCTGACAACTGTAACGGCATCCAAAGTACCAAGGAACATAATCCATCCCTTCAACCTTATAATGAAAATAATTTAAATAAAAGAAAAATGAAAGAAAATAAAAATAATTAATATTAATTCACTTAAAGTTTTCTTATATATTTGTTTACCACAGAGATACTAAATAAATTTAATTTTTATGACAAAGAAAATAAAAATAATTTGTATAAATTTACTTAAAGTTTTCTTCTATATATATATATAATTCATTTGATTTTTATTACAAAGAAAAGTCTTTTAATACATTGACAATAGAATTTTGAATTTCCAAATTTGGTATTTTTAGAAATTAATTTTGTCTCTTGTGTTTTTTGTCAAAAATAATCTTAACATTGCTTTATGAAACTCCATTTTTAGTAATTTTGTTTAAAGGACTTTCTGACCTATTTGAACATACAGTTTTCAAAATAAGCAACGAAATGTATTTAGAACTAAGTGAACAAGCCATTTAAAATTTGATTGCTTTTTGAATTATACCTCTAAGGAACTCATGCTTGTAACCGAATCATCTAGGTTAGAGTGCTGAGGGTTATAGGGAACAATTGCATCATCAGGGGCCTCGCCAACCTCTCCAGTTATTACAGGACCCTCAAGGGTCACATTGTCAGGCCCCTCCTTCAAACAATTAGACAATTAGACAAATATCCTATTCTAGTATTCTGTATCTTGTCTTTCCTGTATCATGTATCTCCTGTTTCCTATATCCTTTTTATTACTGTTTCCTATATCACCTGTATTCTATATATCCTTCATCATGTATCTACTGTATTCTATAGATCATTTATCCTATATCTAATATATCCTATATCTAATATATCCTATATCTAATGTATCCTATATCTTCTATATCCTATATCTACTGTATCCTATATCTGCTATATCCTATATATCCTGTATCCAAAGACAAAGATAGACAATCACCCAACTCATCTCACGAAACATTAGCCCGGTTCATAGAACAAGCTGTAACTTGCTGTAACTACGACTATGATTTCCAGACATAGCTCTGAGCTCTGATTTCAAAATTGGATCACACCTCGTTCATTTATTAGTCTCAAGTCATAGCATTTGATAGCTGTGACTTCGAGTCGCAGCTAAGCTGTAATCCAAGCTGCGAAGTCATAGCAATTTGACAGCTTAAATTGAAATCTTACTGGGCATTTGCACAAAAAGCGATCTCTTTAATAAAGTCGTCTTTTAAAAAAGGACAAAATTTTACCAAAAAAAATTGTATTACAAAATTTCAAGATACTAAATTCTGAAAATTTCATCATATTTTGTTGACAAATTTGTCTAAACAAAGAGTAAAGTTTTTTAGTTTTATGTAGATGAATATGCAATTTTCATATTTATTTATTTATAAAAATGCATCCCCCCCCTTGGACCCAACGCCCCCCTCCCTTTCATTTCTTCAAATACCAAAATTTTTTTTTGAAAAATCAAATTTTCGAATTTATTTTTAATCATTTGTTTATGAACAATTTACATTTTAATTGCAATATAAATTTGATCAATTATCTTTTCATTTTGTAAACAAAATTAACTATTCTTTTTTTGATAAACTAAAAGTAAAACAATACAACAAAATATTATATTCGATTTTTCATATTTTCATTTTAATGGCTGAATAAATGTTCCCATTTCATTTGGATTCTGTAAATAATGGCGTCCAGTTTGTTCCCATTAGCTGTGATTTAGCTGTGAAGTCGGAGCTAAATCCTAGCTGAGGTATGATTTGGATCAGCTGAAATTTTGCTACGATTTGAAGTCACACCTAAGGTCTGATCTAGGTGCGTTCATTGACTAGAAAACTCAGACAGCTTTAACTAGCTACAGCTCAGCTGTCAAGTCATAGCTACAGCTCGATCTATGAACCGGGCTATTGATTCCAAGAGAAAGTGGGGTTCATGCAGTACGCACACTGTAGGGTTTGCAGGGGTTTATTTTAAACTTCGATTTTGGCATATATTTAGATCATATGTTTAGTAGGCATTTTGCCGGCATACACATAAATACTAAATGATCTGAAAGATAGACAACTATTTTCCCCCCAAGATGTAAACAATAAATAAGAAACTAAATGAAGGAAGCACTGGAAAAATAACTTGATTTTTAAGGTACGTACACAAACAACCCCAATTTCTCTAAAATTGTCAGTTTTGCCCCGCTTTCCTGGTGTACTCAGTACACTGAACCTCTATTAATATCTACTCTGTGCTTGTATCCCATGTATCCTGTACTCTGTATACCCTATAACCCCTGTATCTCCTGTATCCTGTATCCCCTGTAACCCCTTTATCCTGTATCCCCTGTATCTCCTTTATCCTGTATCCCCTGTATCTCCTGTATCCTGTATCCCCTGTAACCCCTGTATCTCCTGTATCCTGTATCACCTGCATTCTCTGAACCAGAAATGAAGAAAGATCTGATGCCTCTACGAAAGATTGTGAGGCTTCAGCCTGAAGTTGGCTGGCTACTAGGGGGGAGGGAAGAGGAACCCTGAAATGTTCATAAGTGTCATGAAAGGGTCTGTTTATGTAATTTCAAGGAACCCTGAATCAAAAACAGGGCATTTCCAATTCACAATAAAATCCTTTAAACCTTCGCCTCAGCAGAATTGTGAAAGAAATCCTTGGTTTTCTATCCAAATGATAACTTTAAATTGTGTTACGTTATGAAGGTAAATAATGGATTTATGCATCAGAGACAAAAGAAAAACTGACAGCATTCACACGTTTGAAGATATACAAACAACGATATAGTCCTAACTTTTACTCAGATAAAAGTTTAAAGGGTACCGTTGTGAATCGGAATTGCCATCTTTTAGTGTAAATTTTATTTAAAATTGATAACTTACATTTCTTGAAAAAAAAAACCTTTTCCTCAATTAGTTATAAGGGTGCAGTGAATTTCAAATATGTATCATATTGGAGGTCGTCTTCTTATCCTATCTGGCAAACAGATCTTAGAAAAGAGTGCATTTAGGTCAAAACTTGTGCAGTACTTGTGGAATAAGAAGACGACATCTAAATTAAAAAGTGTCACAGAAAATTAGATTTGAAGCATTTTACTCGTGTACTACGAAATTACAGATCTCAGAAAAAGAGACATTTAGGTCCAAACTCGCAGTGCCAGTTAGCATATCGAAGACGACCTCAAATCACAAAGTGAAATACAAGAATAATTGTTCATATCATTGTTTTTTTTACATATGAATTGACTATTTTTAGCTCTAGGGAAAAAAGAAGAAAAGAAGAAATAGAAGAAATGAAGAAAATTTGTTTTCTGATACTATTTACCCAAAAATCTACTTATTTCTACAAATTCAGCGAATAAAACCATTACAAAATGCTTTACCGCTCCCCGCAAACCTACAAAACATCTCGGCAAAAAATTATTTATCAAGAAAAACAACATTGTCGAAGTTTTGAGATTTTTTATTTTTCTACCTGGCGTTCTTTCGGGGTTTCCTATTCTCCCTCGCCACAACTTGATCTCCTGCATCCATATACTGCCTTTCATAGTCAACCAATTCCTAGTATAGATATATATATATATATATATATATATATAGTCTACCAACTCCTAGTATAGATAGATATATCGTCTACCAACTCCTAGTATAGATATAATAAATAATCGTTCAGATACAACTCGCTCTCGAACTCGCTGTTCGCTCAATAATACTTCAGTCTATATCAATCCAGATACGACGCTATATGTATTCTTCAATGTGCATCGTACGGATACAACTCGAGCTGACTTTCTGCTCACTACACGTGAATTAACAAGTTTCTAAAAGTAATGAAACAAAGATCCATGTCTAACTAATCTAAATTTGAATTAATGATGGGTCTTCTCAGAAATAAATGAACTTAGTTAGGGTACAGAAAATGTTATAACGTAATATGTATAGGTATGTTCAGGTTTACAAATATGGGGGTTATTACTATATTTATTACAGATTTATAGTCTACCAAATCCTATATAGATAGATATATAGTCTACCAACTCCTAGATAGATAGATAGATTAATAGCCTACTATACTCCTACATTTGATAGATAGTCTACCAACTCGTAAATATATAGATATATATATAGTGAAGATAAAAATATAGTATACTATCTCATAGTGTTAAAGATAGATATTTGGTCTACCAACTCCTAGATAGTAAGATATATGTCTATCAAAATCCTAGATAGATAGACATATAATAATATTTTGAATTTCGTTAAATACCAAAGTTTACACCAGCAGGTTGCAAAGATATATTAGAAAATCTGAATTTGATCTTAGCTCTTTAATACCAACTCGAAAGCAGTTGGCCCCTCTTTTTATAAAAATATTATGAAAAAACGTAGCATTAAAAGAGCCGAATGTAGATATATACCAAAATCTAGAAAGATAGATATATAGTCTACAAGCTAACATATAGATAAGTAGATATTTAGTCTACACACAAATAGATATCATTAAAGATTAAAATTCACAATAGTTACCAAGGTATGCACGTTAAGAAGATGCTGAATAATGATTCCCTTCTGACATTTCAGTTCTTTATTACACATCAGACAAGTCCAGTACTTAGTAACCGTCTCAGCGTTTCCGTACCTTTACAGTATACTTTTACTGTTACTGTGCCTGTACAGTAGAATTTTAGTGTTACCCAGCCAGTACAGTAGAATATTAGTGTTACCATGATAGTATAGTAGAATATTAGTGTTAATGTGGCTGTACAGTAGAATATTAGTGTTGATGTGTGTTATACAATAGAATATTAGTGTTACCATGATAGTATAGTAGAATATTAGTGTTAATGTGGCTGTACAGTAGAATATTAGTGTTGATGTGGGTTATACAATAGAATATTTGTGCTACCATGCCTATACAGTAGAGTATAAGTGTTACAGTGCCTGTACAAGAGAATATTAGTGTTACCCAGCCAGTACAGTAGAGTATACTTCCCCTCTATCCCTTCCTTCTTACCCTCTTCCATTTATATATATATATTCGAGGGGAACCTAGATAGTAGATATTTATATATATATTCGAGGGGAACCTAGATAGTAGATATTTATATATATTTAAACATTTATCCGATAAAACAGACACTCTTAGAAATGAAGATCATACATTTTTCAGTTTGGTGTGATAATGATCTTTACCTGGATTCATATTCTTTCCTTGTTAAACTATGGATTCCATTTAAGTGCATTCGCAAAGCCTAAAAACAAGACAAAACGTTGACAGGGTTCAACAGTTTAGTTGGTGTTCTAGGTAGATAGTAATAAACAATAATGAAACTATGCACATCACTTTTAGGTATATAAAAATAGAATAGAAAATTACAGAAGTGCTTTAAAGTAACATGACTTGTGTTTCTGGAGTTGCAGCCCATGAACTTTTTAGAGCAGGCTGTTATTTTGTTTATTACCGCAAGGGATAGTATAAACTAACATAATATCCCGTCAAGGGTTTATAAGGAGTCATGAATGAGTTTAACATTTTTAAAATTTTTAAATTTTAAATTTTAAATTTTAAAATTCAAATTCACCAAGTTTGGTAAAATGTGCAGAGCTAGGTACTTTTGGTTCTGATAGAGATTAACTACAAACATAAAGTTTTATCTCTCTAAATTAAGGGGACTGTAAGTTAAATTTTTAGTGACCCTCTATGCAAAGATGAATGCCAGATTCACAGCGGTATATTTAAAAACTTTGTATGATCAAGTATGAATTAAAAACTGATTATTTTCAATTGTAATTTCTCTACATAAGTTACTTGCGCATTTCTACTGCAGGAAACCATATAGGAATTGAACACGTTTAAACCTAGAAAAACGACAATATCTTCCACATTATTTATCCGACAAAGGTTTCAAGAGTACCGTTGTGAATCGGGTATTGCCCTCTTGGCATGGAGGGTCACACGATATCACGCGAACAGTCCCTTCAAACCTTTTAATTCAAGAGTTTAACTTGCTGATTTTTAAAACTCCTCTAACTAGGTAATTACTGACTTTTGATTGGTCATCATTTGCATGCAGGTTTAGTCTCGGAACTTTAAACAACAAAAAAACGGTGAAGGGGGAGGGGAGGGCCGGGGGGGGGGTTACCTGGGGCACAGTGAAGTATTTCTCCTCAGGACAGGCTTTGCAGGTGAATTTGCACTGGTTGTACCATTTAACTGTACTGTACTGTACTGTACTGTACTGTACTGTACTGTACTGTACTGTACTGTACTGTACTGTACCTGTAGGAGAGGATATATCTGCTGATATCCGACTGGGTTTAGGTTTCTGAGGATTAGGAACCAGCATAGAATTCAAATCAAACTGCCGAGGAGAACCTAGATAGTAAATATATTACATATATATATACTAGCCTTAGAGGGCGCTATATTCGAGGGGAACCTAGATAGTAGATATTTATATATATTCGAGGGGAACCTAGATAGTAGATATTTATATATATATATTCGAGGGGAACCTAGATAGTAGATATTTATATATATATATTCGAGGGGAACCTAGATAGTAGATATTTATATATATATATTCGAGGGGAACCTAGATAGTAGATATTTATATATATTTAAACATTTATCCGATAAAACAGACACTCTTAGAAATTCCTTAGCAGAATCATTCAACACAATTTGACGAATGATTCTGCCGAGGTAAATTTGATGCTGGTGCTACAACAAATGTTGTTAGATGAAAATTTGAAATTTCTCAGAGAATATATAAAAGTTATCGTCTTTTTTGCAGCTTGTAAAGTGATTAATTTCCTAAATTTCCTCTATTGTTTCTGAAGCAAAAAATACGCCAGTCATTTAAAAAAACAGCCACTAGAAAACAATCAATTTTTTAAAGAGAAATCATTCTTTATCAGAAATTGTGCAATTGTGAATAGTGCAATTCTTTAATTAAAATGTTAAAATAACAGAAACAGTCCCTTTAAATCACACAAATTACAAGTTACAAAATCTTAGTCTAAGTTTCTAGGTGGAAAGGTTGAACAAAGGCGACATTCATTCCTATTTTTTCTGGTTTTTACATTTTATTTGCTGTTTATGTATCAAAAATGTTATGAATAAAAATGCAACAGACAATTCGGGTTCCTTTTCTGGCACGCTTAAAAATGTAGGATTGCAATCTTTTAAAAATGTAGGATTCCAATCTCTTAAAAATGTAGGATTGCAATCTCTCAAAAAAGATTAGTTTTCCTACCCATCATATCAGATAGAGTTGGCAGAACTGGTGGGACATCTTCTAGTTTCATTTTCTTCGGAGATCCTTCCCCCTCTCCCCCCCCTACCCTCACATTCATCGTTAGGTCGGAGATTTTTCCGGACTCTGTACTCTGGTTCTCCAGTACAGGGTACTTTAACTCATAGTCCTAAAAATAAAACAGCCCTAAAAGATATTTTTTTCATGTTTCTTAAAATAGATCTGAGGTACATACTATACCTATTACAAGCAAATGAAGCTGTGTAAATTTTTTTATGTTTAATATAAAAAGCGTTCAATTTTTTTATACAATCATAGTCGTTTATATTAATACAATAAACACATTTCGATTTAAATTTTTGACTTCTAGCAATCTTTTAAGCAATATGGATTCATTATACATAAACATGGAGACAAAGATAAGCTGAAAATTGACAGCACAGCTTCTGTATTTTGAATAAAGCTTGTTAGATATCAAAACTTGAATAGAAAAGTTGTCTTCATTGGATTGATATAAAAGCCGATCATTGTATAATCAAATATGTTTAATGTTCTGTTAAGTCGCATGAAAATCTATATGCAAGGACGATTCAATATTCTCCAAAATAAAGTAAAAATGAAAAGAATATTGTGATGATATGTTAACGTTAAGAATTCCTCCCTTTCCCCCTAAAATTGCACAAAAAGCAAATTTGACTCGATTGTTTAGATTTTAATATTTGTCAAATGAGAAAAATCACCTTAATACTGATCTCGTGAGATTTCAGGTGTCCGCAGATTGATTGATAAGTCCATTTGATACTAATATGACAGACGAGGCATCTGTACAGACGAAATGCTTCAGCTCCTGTACCGTACTTGTCATTGTACCGCTCCTTCGAGATTTGATGTACAGTCCTGAAACACATCAGACTAAAGTAATATTTAGTTTAAGTATAAATCTTGCATCCATTTAAACATATCTCAATTTTCTGAATTCTTATTGATATGATAAAAGAAACGTCTTTGTAATTAAATGAAAATCCACCAATAAAACATAAAAATCTCAAAATGTACAAAAAAAACCAAGATTATTACTAGAAAGTGAAGGATGAAGGGAACTTTTCATTTTTCATTTTCTCGTCCGAGCCACCTCTAATTCCATTCAATGTTATTTTTTTGATGTCCAACCCTTAGGGCAAAAATTAAATTTTCCAAAAAAATTTTAAAATTCGTGAAAAAATGAATATGCTCATTAACCATGTTCTACAAATAAACGATGTTCTACAAATAAGCATCTAAATCAGTGGGAAGGCCGAGAATTTCGAGGTGGTTCGGAAGAGAAAATTAGGAGAATGTGGCTCGGACGACAAATTGTTATTAGGGTTGGCCTACCTCCCCTCGTAAACCTAGCATCATGAATTTGTCAAAATTGTTTTGGAGGGTTGAGGGGGGGGGGGGTAAACTAACCTGATATGGGTACAATAGTATGTAAAGTCTACAAAGGACTTATTGCAAATTAAGCAAGTGAGATCGCTTCCATGGTACCACTGGGTTTCAGGTCGGCTCTCAAAAGTCAAGGATCCAGCTGAAACAGAATATTTATTGCATGTTATTTAAAATAGAATTTTTTAGCGCCAAAATTTAGGACTTTATTTCCGAAATCTGTGGCGGTTACCAATGACCTCACCTTTACTAAGTGTTGGAGGTGAAAACATTGCTCCCTGAGTCGAGCTGACCCTGCCAGCGAGTAGAGCAGCAGGGCTGGCCTTAAGAGGAGGCGGAGGGGGCAGAGAGCTGGGAACTGGTTTTATAGAAGATACATCATGACAAGGGTTCCTGGCCTGCTCACGAAGAGCAGATAGAGGATCTATAGTTAGAAGTTCAGGTTCAGAATCCATATACTTAACTTCATAATCCTTCATTATATATAAAATTATTATCATTATCAAAATTTAAAATTCGGTGATGATGATGGACTAAACCTATATAGAGTAAATAAAGTAGATGTCAGTTCCACATTTTTATTGAAAATATATTTCGATCAGGGTTATCCCTCGCTAGTTCTTGAAATTGTTTCTGTCTTTCAGATTAAAAAAATTTATTAATTTAATAAAAGCTAAATACGGTTACGGCAAGTTTTATGTTTTTAACATTTTATTGAAAATATATTTTGAACTGGGTTGACCCTCGCCAGTTCTTAAGATTGTTTCTGTCATTAAGATTCAAAAAATTTATCAATTTATTAAAATTATAATTTAGACTCCACTTCTAAGCTACTACGGTTACGGCAAGTTTTGCGTTTTTTAACAATCTTAATTAACTATTCTTTGAGGACAAATGTAAATAAATAACTTTAAAATATATCTTATATATATATTTATATTTATGCCTGAATATTTGTTCCATGAACTTGTTTTAAATGCTGCCTTATGCTTGAATACTTCCATCTAAGTGAAAACCATTTTTAGAAAATTTGAAAAAACCTTTTAATTTGAAAATACATTTTTTAAATTTACTTTATCGTCCTCGTAAAAAGTCCAATTATAAGGACTGTAAGCATAATTTCACATGACTCTCCAAAGATGGCAATACCCGATGCACATTGCACAACAGTCCTTTGTCTGATCAATTATGAATTAGATTATTGGATATCAATGTTTAAAGTTTAAGAAACTGATTATTTTCAATGGCATGCAGAAAAAAACATAGGGATTATCAGAATTAAACACTTGTAAACCTAGAAATAAAGATAATATTTTTCACATCATTGATCAGATAAAGAATTCAAGGGTTGCCGTCTTTACACGGAGGTTCGATTTAAATCACGCTCTCTCGTTGCCTACCTTTTATTTAAAATTTACAAAAATTTTATGTTTGAAAAAAATTCTTTCTTGCAATGATTTTTTGCCTAATTTTACTGTTGCATATGAGGCATTGGTACTGGTGATAAATCTCAGCATCTTTTCCATATTTTTCATTATACTGCTCCTAAATACAGTCGTCGTCGTATAGATCATTACAATGAAGACAACTTTCGATTTCATTTTTTTGTTCAACATGGATACGCATAAATATGGAAACAAAAATGTTTTATATTTTACAGCTTCTCTTGGTTTACTTGTAAACTTGTAATTTGAAAAAATGGAACACAAAACTTAAATCGACAATTCTTCGTTGTATTGATATAAACACCGAACACAGTAGATAACTCATTTAGATTTCTTAAATTTAACATATTCTTTTCAGAAGATTTGGATAAAAAAAATTATATATTATCATTAATCCCCCCTTTCCAGCCCCTTTCAAACATCAGTGTTCCCCATCTCATTAAAAGTTTTATCCGCTGCATTTCAAGTTAACACTTAAAAACTGAAAATCAACTCTTTTAAGATAAAGTAAATATAAAGAATTCAAGATTCTGTGCAAGGGGGGCAGAACCCCCCTTGCACAGAAATTTTTTGGATTTTAGTAGTAATTAATGGGGCGTTTTGGTACCCTAAAAAGGTCAACTTCAAGGTCCCCAGAGTTTTTTTTAAAGCATTTATGATACTGTTTTTTTTTGTCTATGGTTTTTTCCCTTTCTTCTTTCCCCTTCCCTCTTGCTCCTTTTCCCTTCCCTTTTGTCCTTTTCCCTTCCCTCTTCCCATTTTTCCTTCCCCTCTATCCCTTCCTTCTTACCCTCTTCCCCTTTCCCCTTCCCTCTTCCCTTTCCCCTTCCCTTGCCCCTTCCCTTTCCCCTTCCCTTTCCCCTTCCCTTTCCCCTTCCCCTTCCCCTTCCCCTTCCCCTTCTCTTTTCCTTTTCCCCTTCCCTTCCCCTAGAAAAATATAAACCCCTGCTAGATATTTTTCAACAAGCCCATTAAATTTTCTTCTTTACCTTTGTTATACCGTGGATTTTGCTGAAATGGTGAAAATACCATTGATCATTGGCAAAATTCTTGAAGCAAATTTGACAGGTAAGATCGCTGCCATGATACCAAGCATGCTCAGATGCACCGTCGGTTATCGGCTCCTGCAAAAACGTTCAATGTGTAAAATAAAACAGTTGTCCAATGTACACACACCGATTGACATTGTTTTGAGGTTCGTTTTTTTAAATTTTAATGCTTTTTCACGAGGCTCGACAAGAATCTGAAATGTTTAGCCTTTTTTTTAATTCTTCACTCTCAACAAAGATATTAACCAAAACGATATTTTTCAAAACGATAAGTAAACAGAGCTGGGAACTTTTGAATTGTGGATATCGGAATTAATGCTTGATCCACTCTTTTCTTAATCTCGAGATTAAATATTGCTTGCAAGTTGTCCTCATGAATTTAATCTCCAGATTAATTAACAGATCGGGATTACGGATATCACATTCTAAAGTTTTCAGTCAAGAAAACGAACAAATCTGCCGTTCATATTATCAAATTTGTTGATCTAAATATTTAATCTCGAGACTAACATAATCTCGAGATTATGTTAGTCTCGAGATTAGCAAAAAGAGAGGATTAAGCATTAATCTCGATATCCACCATTCTAAAGTTCCCAGCTCAGGACATTTTAATCTCTGGACAGAATGTTGACACTAAATTTAAAATGGACTAGTGGAGGGTCTGATCAGAACTATAGAAAACCACCAAAATTCTTCACTCTGATGCAAATTCGGTTTTGAAAAAAGAAGAGCTTCAGATGTGGAGATTAGTAAGAATAAAGTTCAAAAAGAAATTCTATTCAAAATCACCGAAGTCAGTTTCGGACAAACTCAATATTTTTGTATTTATAAAGTGAACTCGTTCAGCAGAATTATGCTTTTGACATTGGAGAATAAATGAGCACATGAAGTTCTAAATTCCTATTTTTTTTAGCATGCTTAAAAACCTACAGTTTTAACCAAAAAACTCTGGAACAAGGAGACGACGTTTAGACTCAATTTATGACTTTAAATAATGGAATGAACATGAGACACCACAATTGTACGATGTAAAAAGGCCGCCCAATTGACTTAATACTGATTAATAAGTTACAAGAAAAAAAATTTGCCTTGTAACTGCATTAAATACAATTAATTATTTCTTCAATGTCGTCTTCCTATTCTAGTTTTCTGGTTATCACTGTACAAAGAATGATACTTCATATCTAAATGATTTTCAAAATAAAGAAACAAGTTTACCCTGTAATTTGATACAAAATTTAGAAAAATAGATTATTTGGATGTTTGAATTCTTCTCAGGGGTGTTCACGAGAAGTTCTAACTATTTCTAGCACATCATCAAGCACACAAATTTGGGGACATCTGTTTTTATTTGGTCGTCTTTTATCTTGCTTTCAGTTTTTCTCGCTATTCTTTTTTTGGCCTTGTTGATTTTTTTCAAGGTCTTGTTTTTTTTTCGATTTTTTTTTTCATTTTCTTCGACTGAGAAGCAACAATATAAACAAACATATTCACCAATTACTTTATAGAACCTTAAAATGGAAACCAAAGGTGATAGAACATAGTAAACAGGAAAGCAGAATTGCGCAATAAAAAGTTTATAAACCTTTATTAAATATTAATTAATCATCGATGAAATGATGAATAAAATTATGTTAAATTTTGGGCAAATGAGACCAGGGGTACAGGAGTTGTGAACGTACATACGAACACACCACACGCCTGTGATAAACAGCAAATACATATACCAGCTTTGCCTAGAAACCAAGTTTTCCTATAAAAGTCAACCTACTCAATTTAGAACTCTTAAAACAAGCAAAGACACTTTCCGTGGTTCTACCAAGCTTCCCGTTCAAAAAATGAGGCAAATCGGTTAAGGGGTTTCTCTAAGTTGTGTTTGGACAATCAAAAAACATACCGACAGAGATTAATACTTTAGATATATAAACAGACGGTGGAATATGGGTAAAGCTCCCCCCCCCTCCCATGCATAATATTTAGACTAAAAACAAAAGAAAACATGTTTATTGTGATGTTTAAGTAAATAATTAACTCACAATACCAATTATTCTAAGTTTCCCTAATATTCCTTAATAATATTAATAATTTTCCTTATAATTAATAAATGTTTGAAGACGTATAAAACCAAATTTACTAATGTATAGAATAAAAAGTCTTAATTAAGACTATGTGCAGTGTTCAAAGTATTCATGGTATTTATATTTGCATGTTACAGCTTTACAATATATTTCTTAAAAGGGGCTGTAACGTCACATTGTTTATTTTCATTTGCGGCTTCTCTGCGACTGTGATTTGCTGTTTTAAGATGAAATGAAGAAATTATTAGATTTAAGCACTTTCCGAGTCAGAAAACGACAATATCAGATTAATGTTTCAAGCGTACCTTTGTAAATCGGGCATTGCCTAATACCATCATAACGATAACCCCTTAACCTTTATCTGATAAAGGATTACGGTGATATTTTTCTATCTTAAAGTGAAACAAATTCACTCAATTTCCTTCTTGATCTCTGCTATAAATCCGCAACTCTCGAGTCACTTATATATAGAAACCGCCATTGCAAATGGTCCAGTTTATCTACATTCTACAATCTACATCATTGTTTACAGTGTTCTGTTCTGATTCAGGCATGAAACTATTTAAGTGATCACGTAAAATTAACGTTAACAGTCTTTTTTTAAAGGAGGAAAGTAGCAGAAAACTTATGTAAAACAATTTTACAAAGACAACAATATTTTTCTAAATTTTACCTTTACTTCTGGAGGGGTTTCCTCGATAATAATATCTTCCTCAGTAAACTCATATCTTTCTTCCTCATTCCCCTCCTCCCCCTCATTGCCATCCTCCCCTTCCTCACTTTCTGCAAGAAATAAGGGTGTTAAAGAGATGTTAACCATCTTCTTCGTGGATTTTCTCCATGACAAAGAAGACGACATCGGCTCCGCTACATTGATAAGGAATTATATTATTGGGAAAGTTCTCTACTTGGTGGCCTTTAAAATCGAATTTTCTCCTTAAATTCGTAAAAAAGTGATAAAGATTTTAATGATTTTTTGGAGGCAGGGGCAGGGGGAGTGTTAAAATAATTTAGTTCATTTTATTTCATGATATTTATTTTTATTGATTCAGCTTTTTCCAGTTTACACGATCATTTAATAAAAAAAATTTGGTTTTTCTGGATTCTGGAAGTTTATAACTTAAAACCATCAAAAAAGCAGACTGAAACGTCGATACTTGGGTTTAGTATTTTTTAAAAGCCATACTTTTTTAAAACATTACACTCACAAGATAGAATGATCCACGGATTTACAATTAAAACGTTTTGACCTCTGAGAAAAGTTTGATCTTACCAATAATTAGTTCTGATTCCTGATCTTGATCCTCTATAATATCCATCTCACCAGTGGC